AGATGGCCAGAAGCAGTACCCTTCAAGTACATCACTGCTGAAACAGTGGCCTGCACCTTCGTCGAATGATGGGTAGCAAACTTTGGCTGCCCTTCGACTATCACTACATACCATGGGCATCAGTTCAAATCCGAACTTTTCCGTTGTCTAACTACACTATTAGTAATCACCTTCTTCCGAAAGACCGTCTACCTTGCACAAACAAGCGGGTTTGTAGAAAGCTTTCACTGACAGCTAGAGTTTTCCCTATCAGCTGCAAACGTTTCACAGTGAACCGACGCCCTTCCACTCGTATTACTAGATATTCTCAATGCAGTGAAAGCTGAAATTCGATACACTGCAGCTCAACTCGTTTATGGAACGACACTTCGACTTTCAGGAGAATTCGTGGACCCCTCATCTTCAATGAATATGGATCCAAACTCCTACACAAGCAGACCTACAAACGCAGTGCCTTCAATTCAACCTGTTTCTACTCAACCTGGGTTACGATATAATACACACGTCTTTGTACGTCTAGACTCACATCGAAGACCTTTTGAATCAGCATACAAACGGCTTTTCAAAGTTCTTCTTTAGCCTTTCCGCTGTATCCTACCAATGTGGTAGTTACTTATCCAGCCTACAATTTTACAATGGATACCAAAGCTTTAATGTCTAAATTTAAGACTCAAATAAAAGATCTTGTTGCAGCCCAATCTTTTCTTGAAGTGCAAAGATTTGTCATTTAAAAGAGCTATAGTGAGGACCGATTTGTCTTGGAAGTCATGGTCCCGATGCTCCTTTTTAAAATCAGAGCAACATTTTTTGTAGGTACATGGACTGTCCGGACAATGTGGGAGACCGGAAAGATCAATCAAATAGCATCGAAAATGAGGCGATACAAATTAGCAGTACTGGGAATCAGCGAAACCTATTAGACCCAGGCTGGATAGGAGAGATGCTGCTATACTCCAACCATGATAAGGAAAATGCTCCATACACTCAGGGAGTTGTTCTAATGCTGTCAAAAGAAGTACGAAATACACTTGCAGGATGGGAGTCTTACGGCTCCAGAATCATCAAAGCATCATTCAAAACAAAGAAAATGGGTATCACAATGAATGTTATCTAATGTCATTCACCCGTCAATGATAGCAACGGCGACAATAAACATCAATTGTATGGGAGGGTTCCAGAGATCAGAGTGAAGTGTCCAAGAAAGCACCTAACCATCCTGATGAGTGATTTAAACGCCAAAGTCGGAATAGACAACACCTACAAACCTTCCTATAGATGTCTCCCCACCAACGATCGAAGAAATCAGGATGGCCATCAGACAAATCAAGAGCGAAAAAGCAGCAGGACCTGACAATGTACCAGCTGAAACACGGAAGTCAGACATAGAAGTAACTGCAAACGTGCTCCACGTTCTGTTCTGAAAGGTGTGGGAGGAAGAGCAATGACCTATGGACTGGAAAGATGCCAAAAAAGATCTCAGCGAATGTGAGAGCTAGAGGCATCACACTACTATCGATGTCAGGAAAAGTCATCAACGGCGTGTTGTTGAACCTAATGAAAAATTCAGTGGGCGCTCAGCTGCGAGATCGGCAGACCGGATTCCTTAAGGATGGGTCGTCCAAAGAACAAATCGCGACACTACTGATCAGGTAAAGACAACCAATGTAGCAGCAGCCACTGCATCAGTAGGCCTCAACATACACAAGAGAAAAAGTAAGATTTTCAAATACAGCACAGAGAACACTAACACATTCATACTTGCTGGAGAAGCTCTGGAAGTGGTATAAACTTTCAGGTACCTGGACGGCATCATTGACGAAAAAGGAGGATCTGATGCAGACGTAAAGCAAGGATTGACAATGCACGAGCGCCATTCATACAGTTGGAGAACTTATGGAACTAAAAACAACGAAAAAGAGTAAGGTAGAAGAACACACTACGTCTGGGATTGGAAGAAGACATTAAAAGGATCAAAAGAAACTGGGAAGAAGTTGAAAGGATTGCCCAGGGCAGATTTGGACGGAGAATGCTGGTGAACGACATATTCTCCTCCATGAGGGGTACGAGGGACCGGATGTTGGGAAGGTTTCCATATTCAAACTAGTGACCTTGCACTCCACTATATGGTGTCTCACGACCGAAATAAAAACCAGTACAGCATTAGCTTGGTTTATTCTATCAATAGAACGAGAGATACTTGCCGGCACGAAAGTCGTTCTCTCCATATTTTTGTTTCTTTTGTCAAAGCTATCACAATTTACTTTTATTATTATGGATTTTTTATTTTCATAAGTGGACTTTATTTTATCGTAATTTTAGAATTAGTTAGAGGTGTAACCTTCGGCATATTGTAAATTTTCTCCCATGTTAGCCAGCTGCGCCACACTTAACACATCCATGGCATTATGTAGTGGTATTTTTGTCGAAGAAAAAGGCATGTTTTTCATGTAAGGCAGCAAAAACTGCAGGGAATAAAACACGTTCTGAATCGTAGACTACGATTGTGTAAGTAACGATTCCCGCTTCATTTTAATTGATTGCCAGATGCAAGATCAAAATTAGGAACGAGAGTAGAGATTATCCTTAGTCTCTCGTGGCATAATTTCCAAAACTCGTGAACGAAGCAACGTGGAGCCGAAAATGTCATAATCCAAAGTTATAAACGAAGAGGTTGAATGGTTAAGTAAGACAGCATTATCCGAAACAGTGAAATTAAAGATATCCAAAATAACAGTTATTAGCCGGTTAAACATTCAGTTTTTCCCGTAACAATGTGCAAATCCACTTCGACATGTGGATCTTCTTCATTGGATGAGGATTTAATCTCTTAAATGAGCTGGCTTACAAGCTCCATATGTTCAGTTAAACCTGTTTCAACTCGACTGCAATTATCTAATGTTTTTATTTAACATTTCCTATCATATAGTACACACATTTTTCTACGTAGCTACTCATTATGATGACCTCTTGAAATGTAATACGAAGGACTTTAAAGTCCTTCTTAGTAAACCTAAATACTATATCGTCGATGGAAATAGAACTAACGGTCACGTCAACATTGACCATCCTAATGCTGCGAATTTAGAAGGAGGCCATGAAAATATTGAATTTCTTTCCGTGCACTCGAACGACACGAGACTCACAATTACGGAATATCACAAGAAAATCAGAAATTATGAAGAAACTTTGCCAGTATCTGACAACCGGCCTAAAACAACGTGCTCAAAAGATTACTGCATATAGGACACCACACAGTATGTTTTATCTTGATTTTGTGTATTGTTTTGTCAAAAACACCAAGGACAGGAGTTATTTTTTATGTTTATATACACGTGGATATGACCTATGTTTTTCCAAGAAATCCTAAAATATCTTTGTTTGAAAATGGTTTTCACGCTATCGCGTGTTAACGAAACGAATATATACCAGTTTATACTCTTTTATTGCCTGTTCTGTGTTCCTGAGCATGTACGAGTGAATTTTGACATTCATTTACAATTTATTATTTTCTATTCCAGGACTGTTGGAAATAAATGAAAAACCGATGAAGAATATAATATACCAAAGTTTTCATCATACAATTTTTTCATTGCTGTATTTAGCCACATAGCCCCTTATATTAAATTCTGCTGAATATGGCAAGCCGTTTGAAGAGTGCTTACCAACGACGAGATCATTGAGTCCAGACTTCTGGTTGCTCGCGTCTCAGGGTCATCAATACCGGGCTAGTGGAGTGTGTTGTAGATGTAAACCAATCCACAAAATAAATAGTTCCATAAGTCTTCGAGATTAGTGCTTCACTCATTAGTTCTACTGGTCACACCTTGTTGAAGGCACTCGGTCAAGCATCCACGCTAAATTACGAGTGGAAATGCCGTGCTTCATATCCTTTGCAACCGTTGACCAGCTGAAACTAAATTCTTCCCGACATATAGATAGCTTTTCAAATGCATCCTCGAACCACTTCATTCCTGAATCATGGTTTGACTAGATCGAAATACTTTGATTATATGACTTCCACGTTTAAAAACGTCAAATTCAGACAACCTATGCCAAATTTAGACGACTGAGGACGACGTTTAGGGTACTTCTTGTATCAGATGACACGCATGTGAACAAAACGTACTGAGATTTAACTTCACGTTATTGGCTAATGTATGCGTATACGCATGTATGTGGCTCTTAACGTTTCAAGGAGGAACTTAAAACGTATGTGTGATGTACCACCAGATGATGTATCTCACCACAGCATGTGTATGTTGCTTAAGCATACTACTGAACTACTATCACTTGTTTCGTATCTAACAGACTAGTCATCGATACAGGAACACTAATTAATATCATAATTAGAAATTACTTATGGGAACTAATTAACATGCTTACGCAGTAATGGTAGAAATGGAAAATTATATTGGAACTTAATGGTGTCAATGCTAGCTTACTGAATTTGGAATGAAATGATGGGTGTTTCTAACTGATGCAATCGTCAGTGGATGTTGCACCACTAAATAATCCTTCATCCACAATAAACCCAACCCGGTGGCCAGATTGCTATGTTCATTCATTATTCAAAGAAACCAGACAAAATCCTACGAGCTGAGTGACTTCTTTGCGACAAGGAGTACAGATAATATCATATGGACCAAAACAATGTCGACTATTGATCATTTCGCGTTAGTCATCTTTGACCTGGATGATGTTCCGAAAACCAACCAAGGCCCAGTGATTATTTGTTAGACAAAAGCGACTTGAGTTGATTGGTTTAAATACATTTCATTAAAACCCTATTGGACAACGTCAGTCGATGGGTCAAAGCAGGTCGTTCTTATATAAGGTACCGTTCACCCAAACGACTATAACAGAATCGACCTTATAGATATTACTATGTGAATTTGTTTACGAGGAATTTCATAAATTTGATAAAATACAAATAACTGTGCAAACACAATTCCTTAAGCATTATTAACCTACATTGTGACATCCACAAATTGGGATTTGAAGGATTTAGGAGAGCATGATTTAGACATCGCGTTACAACAAAACTTCGCAGCTGCATTCATTGTTGCTATGTATGTTATAAAGTTGTTAAAAAAACAGATGGCTAATTATTGTGCATGCTCAACACTATCAATCAAAGGAATTTTAATGCTCATCATTAGTGTCATATATATATATATATATATATACTATAGTTGTAGTATTTACAAGTTGTAATTAATTACAACAACGGCCTGCCAATTGGCAGATTAATTAATGCCACATTCCAATTTATATACTGGGTACATATTAGTTATTATTATTGATAAGCACCAGCCAGTCTTTAGACCAGTTAATCACATTATTTAAATCTGCCTGAAGTGCGTATGCATTGCGTCTCCCCAATCAACCAACAAAGGGGAAATAAAGGGGGAACGCGCCAAAATGTCTGCTTTTTCGCCCGTCCGGGGGAGATAATGCGGATTTCTCCCTTTTTGTCGCTCAAGTGTCGCTGAATTTTCTACTTTTCGCTTAAATGCACACCGAATTGTCTACTTTTGCTCCAACCTTTAAAACACCATTGGCTTAACCCCATAGGTCTCCCATGTTCGCCTTTATCCCCACGAAAAACCACACTAAAACTGCAATCCACGGGAAAAATGGTATATGTTTAAATAAATTTATTGAAAAGGAAAAGTGTATTATTGTACAACAGTATAGCAGAAGTTTGAGCATCAATCGTTATACATTTTCATTGTAATTGCCAATTCATTGTTATTTGAAAAGATCTGCAGAAGAATGAACAGGTGATGTATTATTAATAAGGCATATGTATTTAGTCGCAAGTTCACTGACAATCAAACACACCTTCTCAACACTTAAATAGTTTCCCATATAAGTAAGGAAGTAAGCTCATTTACAAACTAATGTTTATTGAAAAATAAGTAGAACATTTCGCGAATTACTTCCTTTAGCCACTCATGTTCGGTTATTGAGAATGAAAATAATCTTCCTGGGAATTTTGAAGTGTAAAGAATGAAAGAAGTTACAACGATATCTGAATGACATGCTTTGGCACAGCCAGATACTTGAAGCTTCACTTATGGTTATGTTCGTTAACACTGTTGACTGTAACTATAGAACAGCAGGGAAGTTATCACTTTAAATTAGTACATACATGTTCTTGTTTCCTCCTATTACGCTTTATCAATTTGTCTCTGACGTTGTGAAAATAACCTTGTGTCGCGATACCGTACAGTTTCGCAAGGTCGTTTTCGTTGACAGACGATGACAAAAAGTGATTTGTTAATGCAACTGAAGTTTAAATAATAGATATAGGTTACTTCGTATGTAGCCGTAGAACCGGCATTTCTGAAGTGCTCGTTTTGAAGAAGTGCCAAGTGGCGTGAAATTACTGGCAACCTCAGGTGTCATGAGGTACGACAAAACATATCGCATTGAGGTTTTAGGATCATTATCCATTAACCTCGTTACCATGGCCATCTGTAATACGAAAAAATTATAAAATTGATGTTGTTGACTTACAAATCCGTCCCTGGTTTCTTTTTGCTGCAAACCAATGTCTAGCATCTGCAGTTCCTCTTCCGATGACAAAGGGAACTGCTGACTTGATAGTCCGCAGTCGAATTGATGCGGATGTTCGCGTTCACTGAAATTTGATAGTGGCAGCTTTAAATTTGTACTGAAGTCAGTAATAGCTGACGACATGTTTTACATCATTGTATACAACCTATCAAATCTGATAAACTTCACTTGGTCGTACAGGTGACTTACTGGGCCGCTGAAGCACAACCTACGTGCTTAGATTCTAATGTTGACGGTGATGTATCTAATTGTGTCGAACTACTTCATTAACATCTAAGTAGTAATGAAACGTACTTGGCAACTGGCTGGGCGACTCTGTCAAACAACCGAAATTTCGGATACTGTACGTGGGATTGTACGGGATCCCGTTATTACTTGCCAGGTTTTTACATCATCAAAGCATAAAAATCAGTAGAAAACTATTTAAATATATAGTTAAGTGTCCCATTTCTGAACTTTTTGTAAGTAATTCTTGATAGACTTCAAAGAAACTGGCTTGGAAAAATGAAGTCTCATTTCATTTGAGCAGAAACGCATGTTACGGTATGCGAAAATGAAGTATTTCCAGATAACTTACTAGAGAATATTATTGTGTTCATAGTGGAACACTTAACGTTTTTATCATCATTATTGTCACTCGTCATTTAATACTACATATCTGCTTCACACAATGATCTTAATTCATCATCTAGGTGATACAATGAATTCATTAAAGCATGAACACCGATTACTGATCGATGAACTAACGGAAGCAATCTATGATGCCTTAGATTCTGATGATATCTTTAATATCGTTTTCGCATTTGTAGAAAGCAAATATCAAGCTGAATTAAAAGATGGTAAGAACATACCTGTTCCAATATATACTCATCATATCTAAAAGTAAATAATCCTAAACTTAGACTTCATATAATCCAGCAAAGATTTTCTTTGGCTTTGGAAGAATGCGGTTTGATCGATGAAATAATCGAAAGTTTTCCAGAACTTAATCTGAACGCACGCTTGGATGAGCTTAAAAAGGAGCAATCAACTTTACAAAGTAATATATTGGAATTGAATGGGAAGATTGATGCCATAGTTGATGAAATGACAAGACTCCAGATAAAGTATATAATTCTTACCCAGTCATTTTTTTGCAAATACTCTTTAGTTCTTTCGGTCGCGTTCTGCGTTTATTTGATAATCGTGTAATTGATTTAGCCAAGGACGAGGAAGAAATTGTTGTTATTGAGAAACCGAATAAGTATGTTTTTCAATTGAAGTTCCATATTACTTATGGCCTATGTAGAGTTTTGGTGTCAGGCTGTTTTAAGTTATCAGTAGACTATCTTGAATAGTCACAACACCTGCAACGCATATTTTTAATATTTATAACTACAATATTCGGGAATACTGTGCCTTCAAAATAAATTTCCATATGGTAACTAGTTGTAAGTGTATCTAGCAATATGTGTAATATATTATATATATTACTAACAAAAATTATTCCTGGTCACCAAAGTTATACCAGTTGCGAGGGAAGTAAGTTCAGTAGGTGATAATTTGGTGTGTGCACCAGTTAGTCAAAGCTTCACATATTTTAAGACTCAGTATGATATTACTTAGCCTAGTACGGGTATTACAGTTATCAGTTAATATATCCAGAGGACTGAGCTAGTGGTCATTTGGTTACTGGACAGGTTGAACTGTTTTCATATTATGGCATGGTAATTTTCATCATAAACTAACATCAGCTAGAGAACCATTTGAAACGAGGGAGCAGTTCATAAATATTTCATTCTACTTTGAGATTTCATAGCAAAGTTCATTTACGATTCTAGATAGAATTAGATTCGAAATCTTCAGATCTCACGGTAAGCACAATGTCTTTAAACAACTAAGTCGGAACCTGATAAGTCATTTTTCCAACTCAAGTCAATTTATGTTACAGCGCTATCCTCATCCAATGCCGTTGCTAGTCTTAAGTTCCAACTTAAAGGGTCGGAAATTTATTCCAAAACTAGCGACGAGTGAGCATTTGGTTGTAAAACAGCTGTCCAATGTTTTTGATGGAGTTTTGTTCTCTGAGCTGGCTGGTTTGGTCGTGTAGCTTTCATCATCCTTCTGAATGACATCATCAGCATAAACTTCAGGTAGAAGTGAATTTCTCCATAAAAATCATCCACCTGAGCTACAAATCTCCACCATCTCAAGCTGTACAATGTTTCCTAGTTTTAGATGTTTTTCCAGCTAACTTCGGTTTGTAGTGGAAACTACGTTCATGCGATCCTTGCAAAACTACTCCTCTATTTACATTAGTTATACTTGACACAAATGCTTCCACGGAAATTAATCCAATCTTTTTCTATTATTTCAATTTAGTCGAGTTCTGGAATCAACCATAAATCACTCCAGTGCTCCTGTTTGGAGAACATTGCAGCCGTCAGAGTTACTACTTGGGTTGTAAGTGTTATTGTTGTAATTACAAATTAGTAGGATGCTTTGTATAGTTTTGACGAGATTTTCTTAGTAATATTCCTGTGAGCTAATCTCATCGCTTGGAACAGAACTTGTTATGTTTTTGAAGAAAACCTATAAAATGGTCCTATATATACATAAATCTATAGATTTTGTGAACGTCGGAGCTTTTTATAGGAATATGTCGAAAATATCAGGAGAGCTCTGACTTTAGAGATTCAAACTCGAGTCGTTTGATCATTACTCACAGTGAGTGATATCGATCCACTAAGGTTTTTCTACAAATTTTCAATACGAGGTGAAAAACTATGGCTATTTCTCTCAGTCAGTAGTTAAACATTATATTTTTGAAAATGTAATCAGTTGGATCCCAGTTTCGTTTATCATAATTCGTATTCGTCCTTTAAACTTCATGTAGACAACTCACACCATCTCAACCAGTCTTATACCGTAAAACACAGCATACATGGTTTCCGGGTCGTGTGTTATCATGTCATTTGCCTAGTTCAGATCCCTCTACACCTAAATCAGATAAGGATCGGGCTAAAGAGAATGAAAATGCTCAGTACACTATTGCTTTGGACACATCTTCAAAGTCAAAATCAGAGATTTGTTTTGCCGTAACTTCATCGTTGGCGCTAGCTTTTTCTGCATCCGAACTAAAACAGAAGTATCCAGTCGGTGCCCGTGTCGTTTGTAAGTGATAAGTGATAACTTTATATTTAACTTAATTCTTGATAAACTTTTTGGTTCGCAATCAATAATAATGAGGTTTGTATACATGTGTGTCTTTGGAAGTTCCTAGGGTCAGTACTGTGTAGAATTCCATCATTGTGTGTTTATATCTATTCATTAATTCCCTCTGGGTCCTAAATGCTTTCCATGGTTTTCATTTCCTTATTTCTTTGTTCCTTTTCAACTAAAATTCTATTTTTATTTTACCTTTTCTATAAATATTTCATGCTGGTCTTGTTTAAAGCAATTCAATCCCTAATTTAATTCGTTTACCAACTACGGATTTGTTTATCTGTTAAGATTTTTGTTTCTTAGTATTTTGCGGACACTTTACTCCACTAGACCAGTCCCCAAATCAAAGTACGGTCTAATAGGAACGAGATTACATTCCAAATGCACCAAGTTGAATGGGATTAATAATCACAATAAGAAAAACCTTAATTTATTTAAAATTTTACGTAAGAAGATTCGAATATATCCAATTATGTGCTAGTGCTGGTTGGCTGAGAATGGAACAATCAGCTTTCTCCAACACACTCCTGCATGGAACGTTTTAGTCTAATCTTTTCCTGCTAACAGTACTCGTCTTTGAGCAACACTTTCAAGTAACCTCTAGTGGTACAACTTAGCTGTCTAACTCAAAGTATATGGAGTGGGACGTGAGCTTGAGGCCTAGTGGTTGAAATATATTTGCTTTAACCACGAAGGTAGTCTTTGTTTTATTTGTGTGCTAATATGTAGAATGAATTGTGTTAATAAATATCTATGTCAGTTCCAATATTGTTTTCAGCTGACTAATTATGGCATACTAACTCATCAATTACTTATCGTCAAGCTAAAATAAAACTTTATTGAGTTCAACTTATTCGCTCGTTTTTGTTGCATAAAAATACGGTAGTAAAGTGGTTATATTTTCGAAGTAAAACACCTACGAAAAACTCATTTTGAAATGTAAGAAAAATTTTAGCAGAAAGGGAAACAAATTTGTCACAATGGTGAATTGATCTTCGATGTTTGATAGAAAATTTCAATTATTATTATTATATATTTATTTCAACACATAAATATTGGTACCAGAGGGCACCAAATATATATGCACCACACAAAACAATGAGAATTCGAAGAGAAAAAACCAATAACGACCACAGATTAGTGTGTGGTAGTGTAGTAATAATAATAATGGGGGAAACGGAAAGGCACAACCAGAAGAATTCTTTCAGTTAAGGAAGACACAACCACTTTTTACGAAGAAAGTAAAAGAAGGTTACAGCAGGATCGCCACTGGCTTCTATTCTGAGCCATATCTGATAACGTCTCGAGCCATTGTGTTGCACCATCTCTAGGACCCCAACCAGGGAGCCGTGAAGGACCAACAGAAGCCAGCCCCTTGCAGCTTTCTTTCATACCACGACACCGTGCCATATACTGACCACCTCTCCGCTTTTTCCAACCAGTCTCAGCGTCGACAAATAATGCACGACGTGGAATTCTCTGGGACGACATTCGGAGAACATGTCCAAGTCACCGAAGTTGGTGTTTCAAGGTGGTGACACCAATCGGATTATCGTCTCTGTGTCCGAACACACGATGCCGAACCTCTTCATTACTGACATGGTGTTGCCACTGGATGTCAGCAATCCTTTGGAGACAGCGATGATCGAACACAGAGAGTCGTCTAACGTCCCCAACTCGTTGAGACCAGGTTTCACAAGCATAGAGCAAAACTGCTCTCACCGACGCGTTGTAGATCCGACCTTTTACAGCCAGACTGACATCACGAAAGCGCCAAAGATGGCCCAGATTGGCATAAGCCGCTCTGGCTTTCACTATACGTGCATTAATCCCATCACTCACGCCACCACCAGCACTTATGCAGCTACCTAGATACACGAACTTCTCGACTACTTCTATCTGCTCACCATCCAGGGTGAGTACAGGATTAGAATTTTGGCAGTATTGTAGAGGTACTTTGCACTTCGAAGATGCAAAGCACATACCATATCTACGGACACTGATTGCCAACTAATAAATGCGGATCGCATGGCTTGGGCATTATCGCACAGTAAGACAATATCATGCGCATACTCAAGGTCGAGAAGTCTTCCTTCTTCTTCATCATCATCATCATCATCTTCTTCTTCTTCTTCTTCCTATTATTATTATTATTATTATTACTATTATTATTATTATTAATGGCTTTATTCAATATTATGTTTTGGTACAATATAGAATTCTCTGCACAGCGTATTTCAACAAGTTACTTACGCAAAAATACAGTAGCAAATACAAAAAAAGGTTTACAAAAATAAATAACCGAAAAACTGTACAACTTTTAAAATTAGAGACATGTTAAGAATGAAGGTTATTGACTAGGTTAACTCTAACAACCCGTTCGTCACAGAGTATATCTGCTAGGTAAGGTATTATAGAACTTTTACACTTTTGCTTGCGTGCATGGATTTTAATGTAATTACGTCTCGTTCTACCAGACGATATACAAGGAGAAAGATAAGATTGAAGGGGATGGTTAGTATCTGATAAAATAACACCTGCCGGGAGTTTGCATGACTTTAGATGTCTATCCACAACCATATTAATTATGACATCGAAAGATTCACCACACATCTTGCTAACTGCCTTCAGCACCCTCCGCAATACAGCAAAGCCTTTTCTCAAAAGCCCGGGAAAGAATAATGGAGAACAGTAAAGAATAATAGGTAATATGCAAGAATTGACAAATTGTAAGAGTAAATGACGAGTAGTCCCAAGAGCATGCAGTCTCTTTATGTAGTAAGTCAGACGGAAAACTTTCTTCGATAACAATAAAACGTGAGATGACCAAAACAGATCAGAGGAAAAAGTGACACCAAGATAATTGACCTTCGACACTGTGTTTATCAAGGAGTCTCCAATGGTACAAGCATTATGGGATCTCAAAATGGTGTTTAGATTCAGTTTATGTCTCCTGCTAAAGTTAACAGGTTGACATTTAGACGGATTAAGTATGAGACCATTATCAACAGACCAACGATCAATACGAGACAAAAACTCATTCATTTCTATGGGATGTAAAGAGGATGAGATAGGCATACATAAAGTGAGATCATCCGCATATTTCACAAAAGTGTTTTCTGTGGAAGATGGCAGATCATGCAGAAAAAAGAGAAAAGAAGAGGTGAAAGAACAGCTCCTTGTGGTACACCTTCATGAGACAGTAGAGACTGAACACTTTCTTCCAAATACAGTGTACTGTTCCCTTCCAGAGAGGTAGGAACATAGCCAGTTGGTTATCCAGCTGTCAGTGTTGACGCTGATCAACTTGTTAAGTAAACGTTGTCTTGGTATAGAATCAAAAGCTGAAGTATAGTCCAGAAAAGCACATCGAACATACTTCTTACCCTTTTCTAAGTTGAACGATATATTATGATGCAGAACAGCAACAGCATCTAAGGTGCTTCTTTTGCATCTGTAAGCAAACTGATATGGATCAATATACTCTTTTATCACAGGCTGAAGTGGAAAAAAAAGGTGTTTGGGATACCATCAGGTCCCAAATATCGAGATGAATTAAGTGACTGGAGATATCTTCGTACATCAGGCAACAGATCTACACCGCCATTACTTAAATCCATCAGAGCTGTTTCCAGAATGTCATCGATGGCAAAGTTGAAGAGGAATGGTGAGATTGGGTGAGATTGTCTAACTAACCCCACTGCTCGAATGGAACAATGGAGAAAGGTGGTTGTATGCCCTCACTCTGCCTGAGGTGTTTGTATATAGGGCTTCTAGGATGTTAACAAACTTCTCAGGCACACCCTTCCTCAATAGACAATCCCAGCGAACAGTCCTGTCCAACGAATCGAAGGCAGCCCTGATGTCAAGAAACACTACGATTGTTGGCCTTTGATAAGTATGACGGTGTTCTAACATTTGGCGGAGGGTGAAGATATAATCAATATATCCTCGACCGGAACGAAAACCAGCCAGCTCCTCGCGAGTCAATCTTTCTCGAGTTTTGAACAACCTACGAAGTATGACGGAAGCCAATAGCTTGGACGCAATCAGAAGTAGACTTATCTCCGATAGTGGTTACAGGGACGACGTGAACCCTTTTTAAAGATAGGGAAAACTATCGACTCATTCCATGACGTTGGTACACTCTCTAGCTCCCAGACCTTTGTAAACAACACAGTCAGTTCCTTAACCAGAAATTCACCACCATCTTTAAAATGAGCAGGGGGTAAGTCTTCTGGGCCAGGTGATTTGCAGCGCACCAAGAGTTGGTGTTCCTTGCGGACTTTCGCCTCATTTGGTGAATCCGTCGCCACAGATCATGGAGGGCAGGACAGTTTGATCGATGTTGCCGGAGCAGCAGGCCAGTTGAACTGCCTTTCGGAAAATTCTGCCCATCGTCCAAGACGTCGATGGATGTTAGTGATTAGCATCCCATCATCCCCGTATATTGTTTCGCTGACACCAGACTTCTTGCTGCCAGTGGCTCGGATGAGTTGGAAGAGCTTCCGGTAATTACCAGATGCAGCTGCTGCTTCCAGCTGATTAACATGCTCCGACCACCAGGCTTCTCGGTCCTTACGCAAGCTCTGCCCAATTTCTTTACGTAACATCCTTCGTTTGTGGTCAAACTCACGGTCACTCGTAGTAGACCAACGGGCTTCGATGAGCTTTAAGGAACCAGAAGAATCCCAGTGGTTATAAGCGGGACGGTTCGCGAACCCACAACTGATTTTACACACCATTTTGATAGCGTCATGAAGTTGCAATCAATGTCCATCTACACTTTTCAGTGGAGTGCTAGCTAGCCTAGAAGCTAGCTCGATTCGATACTTACTAGCAACAGAAGTTGCAACCAGCTTGCTGATATCAATCCGTTGATGGCGGTCACTTCGTTGGCCACTGAAAAGTAAGGCAAGATTGGCACAGACCAAGGCATGATCAGAGTTCAGATATGTACTCCAAAAGGAGCGTCAGTCTTGTACACAAGCACGCCAGCGGTAGCTGACCGCGATTTGATCAATCTGAGTTCAGGCTTGAGATGCAGAGGGAGGACGCCAGGTGGCACATCGGCGATGACTGTGCCGGATGTTAGTGCTAGCCAGAAACAGGTTGTGGTCTGTGCAAAGTTGCAGTAGACGGTCCCCGTAATCTGACCTGCGACCAACGAGTCCCCATCGGCCACCTAAACGACTCTCTTCTGTGCCTAGACGCCCGACCTGAGCATTTAAGTTTCCGGCTAGTACTACAATATCTGTCGAACGCACTTTCTGGAGAAGAACAGCTAACTGGTGGTAAAACTCATCCTTGATTGCATCCGGGCTGCAATCTGTCGGAGCATAGGCGGAGATGACGAAAAGACATCGTTTCTCACACCGATTTTCTCTCACTTTGATGGAACTCTCTAATCTAACAGCACATAACCAACTGTAAATGGGGATCCAATCGATTAGTGCTGCCTCAGCTCTGGCGCTTAGTGCGACACCAACGCCAGCAAGACCAGACGAAGATGCCACAGGGTTCCCTGATAAGCGCACTTAAAACAAGCTTTTCGAAGCGACAGATGGATAGCAAATTTGTAGTACTTCACCAGAGTCTTGAATGCGGGTCTCAGATAGACAGCAAACAGCTATATTAAGACTTTCTAAAGACACAGCCAGCCCTATCTGTTGTCCAACCTGCATAAGTGTGCGAACGTTGAAGGCAGCCAGTTTGAATGGTGCACGTGGTTGACCTAAAGGTCTGACTCACAAGGCAGTGGAGCATCGTGAGGAGATGCAGTCTCATGGTAGCCGGTGACCAACGATTGGTTCATACGCCATTTGTTCCCTCAGGATCCTGGAGCTCATGTGCACCATTGGTTTGGGATTCGGTTAAAGCGCTTGACATTCGCTTTTCTTCCTCAGTGTGAGAGTATTTCGGGAGGGAGGACGGGCCCACAACACTCTCGGCCATACCAGGGCATTTGAGGGCTGAAAATTTCAAAAACATCTAATGTCACTCACAATAATAAAAGTGTTGTTGATGGTTATTTTATACTTGTATTTTAGAAACGAAAACCGGAAACATCCCACTTATGTATAAATGTGTTCGTTAGAATGAGTAGTTTTTATTCTTAGGTAAACAAAATCTTCGCTTATTTTCGCTTCTCTATTTCGTATAGTGTGTCACATCTTGAAGTATCCTTTAATTTTCGGGATTTGTTCTTTAATTTTTAAGAGCTACCCGTTTGTATTTGGGATTCGTTTGCATACAAAAATGTTACATCATGTCATATTTCAATGAAAGGCGCGCATCAGTAAATAATGAAAATGAATAAAAGTGAAAAACTAATAAATTATGCCGAAGCTACTTAAAGGGGTTAGAGATTGAACGTTGTTATCATATTTTAATTCACAAACCCTTTAATATTCATTAAGTAATCAGGTGCCGCGTAATAAACTTCAGTCTTGCCTGTTTTTATTAGATAATCAATGCACAACTACTGATATGGAAAGGTCAGATATCTGGCTGACGTGTTGTTGTAGTTTGCTTCACTGAGATAATTTATGGGTACCTGTCCTAGTCCTCAAACTTATACTTATTAATAATATAATTTAAATCTTTTTCAATGATATTCCTATGTGTATGTAGGTTATGTACACCTTAAAAATTATTGTTTTCATGTTAAACGATATTCAGATATTTGCACATGATTATTGCTTTTTTATCATGAGCTCATTAGATTTGCTAAATAGCTAGTAAATATTTCAGTGTTTCTATAAATTATTGAAGATAGTTGATCCAATTTAGTGTAATAGTTGTCACTACATCTTTTTATTTGAATCTTTAAATATAAGATATACCATAAACAAATTATGGTATATTTATACTCTTTATTTATTAGGGAAGAGGGATTCTTAACTTCGAAGTCTATTCTTGTCTCCAGTAATGTGTAATTTTATGAGAGCAGTCGAAACTACAAGCTGTATAACTGTTAGCATGAAGTTTATTTTTCGTTGATATATCAGGTTCATTATTGACACAGTAAATATCTGATAAAAACTAATCTTTTAACTTTGAATTTTATCATTTACAACAATTTAGCAATATATCGAGATGATACCGGTGGAATCGGTTATTATTCCGGTTTGATTGCTGAACCTCCAAGTGAACGAAATAATCAGAGGTAGGGATAAATTTTAACTGGATAACTTTTAATTACTTGGTTGTATTTAGGTATTTATTATTCTTTGATGATGGTTATACGCAATATTCACCACCGAATGAAATTTATCGCATATGTCATCAATGTAAGTTTACAATCAATTCTCATATGAATTTCCATAGCGAAAGAAAATTGGAAAGAAGCCACTGAATCATCTCAAGAATTCATTAAACGTTATTTGGCTCAGTATCCTCAGGTCAGTAAAGTTTTTATCTAGAAGTTGTTTCAAGTACTACTGAATTTTTGTTGCTTGATTTTCTCGAAAATATTACCTTGGAATTTAGTACATGTCATTCTAATACTTAACACTGTATTATTTAATTATTTCACTATCAAATACTTGTAAAGTGTACCTCACGTAAACTCGTGGGAATCGTTTTAAAAAGCCCAGTGAAATTAGCATCCGAAGGACAAAAAGGTTCGTTAAACATTTATACCTATTTCAGAGATGAATGTCTTAAGTCTGTAGTCTGAAAAATGAAGAAACATGTTCGGTTCGAAGGTGGTAAGTTCAGTTATTGGACCTCAAAAATAAAAGTTTTATTTAAATTTGCTGTAAATAACTAGTAACTATTTTTCGCTTGAGGTTCTTAAATACCACTTTATATAAATTTCTAATGAGAAAGCAGAAGTGTTGAGTCACTTCATAGACAGTAATAATATAAAATGAGAAGCGCATCATTTTGATCAAGTTTGACACAATCCTTAATTGTTTAGGTATAATGGCAGTTAAACTGTAATATCTATTCTCTATGTTTTGTCGCTCTCACGGATCAAGACAAATCAGATGCGTCAATTCAAGGATGCTCCTGTATTTTTCGTAGTAGATTCTTCCAGTCCTTACAGTTGTAATGCTCTGTATGACCGTTTTACATGAATAAGACTATGGTTGTTTGTCATTCACCCTCGTTGAAAATAATTTCTATTATTCCAACAAAATTGTTTGCATGCCTTTTTCAGCGTCCCATGGTTAGGCTGAAACCTGGACAGATTGTTGAAACTGAATTGGATGGTGATTGGATGAAGGCAACTGTCGAGAAAGTTGATGCAAGTTTAGCTCTTATGAAGTTCTCTAGAACCCATTCTGAATGGATTTATCGTGGCTCCACGCGCCTGGAACCACTTTTCAGTGATTTGGTAAGCCAGATACTTATTTGTTTGATGGATATTGTTTTGAGAAACTGTATTACACAAATCGGTGGTTTTAGTGGATTGAAAAATTGCATTATAATTTTGATCACAAACCGAGTTAACCAAAAGTACCGCGGGAACTAGGCAATATTACACAAATTAATGAATGATAATGTAGAACCACGACTTAATTAGAACCAAGCATGTTTTCCCAGCATAAATTGTTAAGAAGTCCTATATGCAAGTACAAAACATGCTTTTCAGTGATTTTTTAAAACTGATAGTGCTTCGCAATAATAATTTTTCTATTTGTAACTAAACTTAATTGTTGTTTGCTGTACAAAAATAAGTATCTTTAGTAAAGTAATTACCTCTATCATGTCTCAACATTATATGAAAATTTTCCCCTAAAAGTGTTTTTATTCTTTTAACATACAAATTGCTATATATATATATATATATATATATATATATGATCAAACTCTCGTCAAGTTTCATTTATTCTGTGGAACTATGGTGCCCGATAATGACTACACAAATCGAAATATCAACAGAGGAGTTAACTCAGTGAGGAAACGTGACGCAGATACACCAAAAGTTCGTACTAAACCCCTATTATCTTCTTGATTCAGCCTCCAACCAACCACTCAGAAGACAAACAAAGTAGAAGGTTCATTTCCCAATTCAGTCGACAACGATGGTGGGAGGATGTTCCGGGCATTTGTAGAACTTTCTGACATGTCATTCGAATCATCCATTTAGTTTCCTAGTTTCATGGGGCCCTGATTTAATGGTTTGCGCTCAGTTTAAACAATTTAATATGGCGATTATTAGAAGATTCATTTTTAAGTAATCCTGGTCCAATTTTCTTGAAGTAATCCATGTTAGAGCAAAAGAATGTAGTTTTAATGCAATAAATTGTTATTTACTGTTTAATTCATTGATTATTTATGAACAATGTAGTCTTAAATTGTCCTGGCCTACCTGTGATAGAAAATTTACTCAATTAGCAGTATTTATTCAAAATATATTTTATGTTTTGTATTTCCAAGGTCCAACTTTCATATACTGTTTCAGAAAAAAAAGTTGTTTATCGAATCACTGATACTACCCTGGTTTAATTAAGTTTTATGTTCACAATTATTTGTACATTTTCAGCTTACTAGTCAAAGTAAGAGTGTACCAACTCATAATCAACGAGTAGAAGTTGAGTATAGTAGTGTGGATGTTCGTAAGTCACTTTTGTTTTGTTGAAAGCTTTATATGTTCTTGTTTTTAGCTACATTTCATAATATAACTAGTTGTGTAGAGAACTTGCGTTTTTATTCTAGTATTATTTCACTTTCCTGATGTCCATGAAATTAGTTTATTTCGAATGGGATCTTCATAAGTTGATGGTAGTTAAAGAATTCTTATCAATCAGGAATTGCAAGTTTTAAGTTCCATGAACAGTATGTACTTTAACCATGGATAAAAATATTATCAAGTGAGAAAATTAAAGGATAAAACACCATGCACAAGCAAATTCATCATACAAATGTTTAGTTCGAATTGCTTCAATATCAATCGTATTCATGCCAGGGAGATTGTCTGGTCACTTTTAAATAGCGAATTGCAATCGTTGGTTCACAAATTCAAGTTCCTTTTCACCTTACAAAGTATGAAACTGTGTTGTTTGGCTAACACTTATGAAAATGGTGTGAATTAAACCTCTGGTTTATTAATATACCTGTAGTTATCATGTCATTTTGTTTCCGTATCCTTGTCTGTAGATTGTCTCTATTTACTGTACTATTCGAAAAGTAAAAGCATTGATCGTTGATTAGAAGTCAACACCTATCCAAATAAACGTTTTATCGTAAAAACTTTTCATTCCAACGTATAATTTCTTCGACTGGTAAGAGGCTTAGATATAAAGTGTTACTTATATTAAAGATATAGATTTGAAGGTAACTCAGAATCATATAATCTAAGAACGCATCAAATTACTGACAAAAGATTGTCAATGCAAATGAAATTTTAAATCGGATAAATCAAACAACTTATGTGAGCAGTTTCTAAAGTAAACGATTTAATACTGAGGATACTGAAACTGGGGGAAATTAAAAAGATAAATATATGCAGATGATGGTTTTTTCATAATTTAAATTCAAAGGTCCATATACCAAAGATTTGGTTTTATCAATTTCTCTAATTATGATTCGTATAAATTGTAAATTGTTTTCAAGGTTTGAATGTCAAGCATCATTTAAACGTTATTTGGATAGTTTTTTTATGTTTCATGTATGATCTTTTGAATGAAGACAAATGGGACATACTTAAACTACGTGTAATAACTAATTATACATTGAAGTGTTTATGTTTTAAATGTGACTGTTGTTTAAAGTTTTTATGTGCATGGGATATTCACGTTCAACATTTCGGTTACGTTTTCCTCTAATATAGCAATTAATCATTCAAGGAGATATTCGCGGTTATTCTTAAATGAAATTCAACAACTACCTCTAACTGTTCGTCAGTGAATTTGAATTCACTTGCTAAGTGTATATCATGACCTTTCATATGTAGTTTATGAATCGTATTAAGGGGAATAGATTTCTTTTCCAAGGACAGTGCGTACGAAATTTTTTTTGGAGAGCTTCCACTAAGGATTAAAATGCGACCACAACCAGATCAATAAACGTGATATTCATGTTTAAGTGCAGTTGTTTACCTCCTCAGAATTTAATAATTATGAGAATACAGGTTTCATGTTTATTAAAAAGGATGTTTCTAATGGTTGATGAGTGCAATTCCCAGTTGTTAAAATCTATGGGTAAAATGTCAATCGAATGACAAACACAATGATATGATTCGGTTGAGTGATAGCTGTTTACGAGACTGCATTAATGACTTAAGTCCCCAAAATCAAAGACAACACTACTAGTCAGATTGAGTAGGTTTTACACGTAATAAAATAACATGCTTTTACACACAATATGAACACAAAATAAGCAGAATAAAATATCGTGGACAATTAGACGAAGTAAACTTGTAAGACATAATTTTTTGGTATCATATCAATATATCATGGTTGTTTTTCTGATTTTGGTGATCATTATGACTTAACATTTTAATATGAATTATTGATGCACTTAATTGTAGACAGGAAGAAACTACTTGTTACTGCCTAGATTTCCATATTGTGGCTAACAGATGTAAGCAGTGCTAAGTATTTACGATCTTTTAGCCATAATATTTTTCTGTAAATGTGCTATATATTCTAATTTGTTCCTTTGTACCATTTAACTTTGTCTTAATTCAGTTATTTGTTTATTCTGAAGAAGCCGACTCACACTAAGTCAGGAAACATCAGCAATTTAATTTTTTGTTCGATAGTTTATTATAAATATATATCATTATTATGTAAATGTTGGTAGTTTTCTCCCTGAACTATCCATAGGGTTAACAGATTTTCATAAATTAAAGAAGCTTATTTTCAACCTTTTATTTACAGTTATCAGATTTTAAACTTACCTAACTATTACCTTAATTAATTATCTTTCAACTTTATTAAAGCATTAGACTCAAGTGCTAAACGTCGTAAAGCTCGTAAGTCGGCTACAGGCAATCAAAATACTGTTGTACCAGTCCGTGCATTGTCTAATGGTGATTCGCACAAAATTAGTAATAGTATTCATCAAACTAATAAATCATTAAATTATAATGATGAAGCATTAAAAACTATTTCTAAAAAGAGTTCTGAAAAATTTATTAATGAACAATGTCTAAGTATGGATCCAATTACTAATTTGTCTGAATTGGAATCAACTGGTACCAAAACAAGTTATTTAGATAATTTATTCAAAGAATTCAATTATAAACCATTCGGTAAGTCATTGGTTTGTTGTTTAAGTGTAAATACCATATATCCTCTCTTTCATAATATGTTTTGTAGATTTATTATGTGTAAATGTCCCGTTGACATAAAGCAATATATAATTTCAATTATGTTTTTATCCATCATATTATAATTTCTGTCATATTTATTTTTAAATAATTAAACTTCCTAAATTATTCTGTACTGGTTGAATTGATCTTTGCATACAGGGTTGGTAATGTAAATCGGAGTAATTAATCTTGTTGTTGCACAGTATGAACTAGCAACTTACATGTCATCTGTATTGGTTTCCCGCTTTTTTTTAAAAAAAAACTTCAATCCTTTATACTCTTTACAGTGAAGCAGTCCGGAAAACAAGGCTATTTTAATTGTTCTAAATAATATCCAGTTGGTCACCAATCGAGCTAATTCAACTCGGTTTCGATCGAGGCTCTGTGATGCCTCCTGATCGGACAGCTGGTTTGATTGTGTTTAGCTGCATTTACATGTACATAACTGTTAATCAAAATATTCGCTAAAGGAAGAGACATTAAAACTTTGCTATTTGAGTTTGTTAAAGCCCTAGATCGGTGATCAATTCAAATCCTTTTGCTATAATGTTTTTCCTCAACTTAAATCAGCAAATCGAAGTGTGCTTTGATAGCTAGTGTTCAACAATGAAGTTTGTGTTTTTGAAGGAGTATTGATCATTTTTATATAATCGTAATTGGTAATATTGTTTTTACCTATTATTCGTTAGTGTATCTCTAACCATTAAGAAACAACAGCCAATTAGGATGGTGTAATAAGAAAATGAAGATTATCAGAACTATGTGATATATTAGCGCAGTACATTTCAAACAGTCTGACTACACGTATTAATTACAATGATGTTGGTGTCTAAAAACCCCTAAATATCTTCTTTGTGTGTTTAATGGGGTTAATTAATTCTTGTACATTGTGGTCTTATATTTCACATGAATTTAAGTAAAAGATACTTGTAATCATTTATTTTGCTTCCTGGTGTTTTTTTCAAAGATTTGCGAACTAGAAATCCCCTGATGTGTTATAAATGGGTGAATTACACTAAATGAATTGGAAGTCTAGGAAGCATGATAGTTGACGTGATAACCAGAGTACACTGATATTATGAAAGTGATTTGTTAGTTAAAGTAATCTCTTTTCAAAAGTTGGGTCTTAGTTTTAAACCCTTCTCCGCCCTGGTACGGCTGAGATTGGGGAGAGTCAGCTCTCCCTCTCGAAACGCCCTCACATGGCCACGTGCATACAACCACTGCTATGGATGTCCTACTCATTGCTTTCTCGCAATGAAGGTGTTGTTTACGAAATTAAGAGGACAAGAAGCGAATGTCAGGCGCTTTGACCGAGTTGGTGGATATGGAGGATCCACTTAGGTGAGTCGGAGAACCCTGATTCCAAACCAATGGTGCACATGAGCTCCAGGATCCCGAAGGAACAAATGGCCTATGAACCGATTATTAGTCACCGGCTACCATGAAACTGCATCTCCTGACGTTGCTCCACTGCCTTGTGGATCAGACCTTTAGGTCGTAGTCTCGAAGTATAGTTCCCTAAGAAACCCACCTGCTTCGGTTTGGGCACCCGAGCAATATCCCAGCCCACACACAAATCGATGATTTATGTGGCGCATATGTATTCGGTGCCTCCTAGTACCAATGTTCGTGTGTTTAAATAAATAAAACTCCGTCTACTTCAGTTTAAGGTATTAAATAGTGTCATCCACCGTCACGAAACGTGTCGTTAAATCTGACAACATAAAATTGTGTCCGGTAAACGAGTTTTGTTAGTTTATTTTGTGTGGTTGTGTGGAGTATTTATTACTGTGTGCTTACATTTCATCTCATGATTTGTCCACAAATGGTCTTTGAAAACCCTTGATTCTTGGTCTTACTACTGCAGCAATCACCTCAGTTACCAGTTATTACATCTATAATTTCTTATTAACTATCCTTTATTACTCCTAAACAGCGAAAATTCCGTACATCATTTTGGTGGCCCCCTAAGAAAACCACCTGCTTCGGTTTGGGCACCCGAGCAGTATCACAGCTGTCACACATATCGAATGAGATTTGTGTGGCGCATATGTATTGGGTGCCTCTTTGTACCAATATCTATGTGTTAAAATAAATAAATAAATCTTGGTGATTTTGTAGCTGATCAGAATGAAAGTAGTAAATTTAGAAAAAGTCATTCGAAAATAAAGGTTACTTGGGAGACTATTTTACTCATATGATGGGTTTGAAATTTCGACAATAATAAACCCACTACTTTCTTCAGCAATACACATTTTTTACGGGGTCAGCGGACTATTACATCGTATATATGTATTAATCGCGAGTGCTAGGCAAATATATTTTAATTGTTTAATGGAAATTGTTTTTGAAACACTTTATAATTCCAATGTTTATTTACATCCTAGAGACGCATAAGTGTGGGAATCATTGTTTGAAAAGTTACAGAAAACCATCTAGCTCACTGTCTCCAATTTTGTGCTCAGAAAATCCTATGGATTACAAAGGTTTGAATCCACTGGAAATTCCATTCCGTTGCGGTTGGTTGAGGTAAGTAACTTAATCGGGTTAATTAAGAAAGTATTGTACTGAGGATATTGTTTCAGCCAACTAATTTAAATCTCAGACCAATAGGATGTTTGAAAATATCTTCAAAACTAATCATGTTATATCTTTTGCCTCTGTTAATTATCACGTGACAAAACTGCCAATCAGAATACCGACTTAAATGACCATGTTCCTGTGCTCAACCAATGACACGTCAACCAGCACAAGAAGCTTAGAATCAACTCTGAGTCCTTAACAGTTCTTCTCGCCTGCCCATTTAGTTCAGAACACAATCTCAGCCTCCACTGTATGAATCATATATTTCAGACACGCGGTTTATGTACAAGTAAACCAGACCTTATCACACTATAAAATAGAAAATAACAGTTATACAAGATCACGCCAAAAGTGGCTGTGAGTGTGAGAGACTGCAAGTAATAGATTGGGAATATCCTAAGAATAGTTAATCATATAATAATAACCAATAAGTCGATTGAAAGCTTATGATAAAAGAAATACGAATATATATAATCTAGTTACTTAAGTTATAAAATAAGAATAAATATATATATACTAAGTCTATAAATAGTTCTTAGAAGTTACCCGTAATTTAATCTTCTTAGGGTACAACAAAACACATACTTTACTAGGGACATCATTAGTAAAGAATTAGTTTATGTTATCCAGTTAGCATTTGACAGCTGTTTTAGGTCTTTAATTTTATCAATATCACACAAAATGGTACTTAATAAATCAGAATAACGTATTGTAAACTTTCTTAAACTAACTATTGGTTTGCAACCTATTTTATTTTCTTATGTGGTGGCAGATATTTGCTTACTATATGATAGAAAGGAAATTGATAAGTTCGGTAATCACACTCCTTATTGGAACCTTCCAAAAGTTTTTTCATGAGAGTTAGTGTTTATATTTCATTCAAATCACTGTTTTTTTCTATTGTTTCTTGATATTAGCAGTGATGACTTGTTATAAGCGTTTATTTCTGCCTAATTGTCATCTGAATTTGTTGCAGTTCTTGTTTTCACCTATTTTCAATCACACTTTTTCTTGAAGAATATTTCTATCGAAAATTTTGTGCCAAGTAGATCGTCAGTAGTTTCTGCAAAGATCGATGATATTGCTATTTTTTATTTACAAAGTTTATAATCTGTATTCTTGTTTTGAAAGAGCAGTGTAGCTGGGTGATATATAAAATCTATTTATATAGATGTTGCTACTGATAAATTTCGTCTACAACCAACCAGTTAGATCTGTCAGAACAATGCACCCGAGGTCGAATTAATCGAAATGTTGTCTTAGCCTCTCGTAATATTTAAAGATGCCGATATTGAAATAATTAGCGATTCTATAACAAATACTTATCAGCCTGTGTTAAACTTACATTTGGAGCAATGAATTCAGAAACAACGGTCGGATCACGATTCATGGAGTCACAAAAATAACCAGCCCATTTTAGCTTAAATGAATCAACCGTTAAGAAAAGTCTACGGCTAACCAATAAAAAATAGGGACTTAATTATAGTTACTCATAAGTAGTATAGTCATAATACACAATTTTCAAGTAGCGTTTCGAGCTGTGGTGTTTGCCCTAATTCTTGAGCAGTACCCGATGTCGTTTTGTGTACTCCTCAATAACAGTCAAATTCCTATATAACCATCAAACACACCTTGCTTACGGGCAGCGACTACTAGTAAAGCTGGGTCTTGGGCTTTTCACCACTGTTCTTCAATTTCTTAATGTCAAACAAATAATATACAGTAGTGTAGTATTATTTGCGCTTCAAATTGATTGATTGAATTCAGTCATTGCTAAGGAGTAGAGAAATTGATACCTAATGAAAATTAGTGTTAATTTAGTGTATGCCTATTTCTATTTTCACTTAACCATTAAGATAAATAGATCTTCTAATAGTTCATCGTTAATAAACTTGAAAATCAATGCGTTATAATGCATTGCGTTGTATCTTATTTAGATATCGCTGTAGTTCATCTTTGGTTGTTTACTTTTACTGGTTTCCTGTTACTGGCTTCAATTTTACGGTTACTTTCTACAAAAAAATCATTGGGTAAAGTATTGGCAATAACTAAGTTTAAGTGCTTGTATTTTTTTGCTGATCATTATTTGTTTTCACATACATTTAACGTTTTATTGTTTATTCATTTGTTTAAAAAAATAATAAAAAGCAGATATCTAGCAAAATATGATCCACCAGTCAATAACAAATGTAATATTATATATAGTGCGCCATGTGGTCGTTCATTGAGATCAATGCATGAAGTAGAACGATTCTTAGACAAAACTAATAGTCAGTTGACTGCGGATCTATTCTCGTTCGATTCTACGCTGATAATTAATCAAGAATTTCGTGCAGAAAAAGTGAGTGCTTTTTTGTAGTATCTTTTGTTATTTAGCCATTACTCTTAAAAAGGTTGGTATCTTCGTTGTTATTGAATGTTCCTTGTGGATTATGGTGTCATTGTGTTGAAATAGCGAAACAGAAAAATGTCTTGTCATTAAATCCAGTTAGTTAAAATAACAGTCAATTAAAGCCCTGTTTCTCGAACATTATTGTATCACTGGTAATATAAAAAGTCTTCTCATGCTTAAAAAGGGAGTAATTTAACAACTAACTGTGGGTTCACGATTATTTTGATGAATATTCAATGGTGCGATTATTACTATTTTTTCTGTGAATATTAGATTTTAATCTGCTAGCCAATGTTATTCTTAACTTATCGATGGATATATATCCATATAGAAACTTCTAGAGATGGAGTTATCTTTACCAAACATCCTGGAACTATATATCCTTGCACATCCTCTTACATCTCTAGACTATTCAAATGACGATCTTGTTGGATAAGTACGGGGACCCAATACAGAACATTATTCATTCCAAATCACAAAGTGTTATTTCAAACTGCTCTGGGCTATTCTGTAGTTTGAATTTGTGTATTACAGTGATTGGGTGTAACAACCAATATATTTACAGTTCCATTAACCTTTCGGAGTTGGTAATACATGAAGCGAATTTTTTCAACACACTATTCGTAATGCTCTCCCAATGTACGTTTGTTTAGCAACAGGTAAATATCGTGGGAAGCAATTCGCCGTTTTACTTAAATCAGCTTTTCAGTTATAAGGAGTTCTGAATTCGTCAAATTTTTTTTTACCGATTTTCTCTCCTGTTGTTATAATTATGATTAATTGTTTTATTTTACAGACACTTACCAATATTGTGGATTTGTCATATGGTAAAGAAAATGTTCCAATTCCTTGTGTAAATAGTGTAGATAATGAAGTCCCTGGCTATATTGATTATACTCCTCAAAGACAACCTATTGGTAATGTACCCTTATTGAAAGATTCTAAATTTCTTGTTTGTTGCGATTGTACGGATAATTGCCGTGATCGAACTAAGTGCGCATGTCAGCAGTTGACTAGTGAGTTTTTATAGAAATACGTTTGTCTTAAAAAAATCATTTTTCTTTATGGAGTTTTCGATGAAGAATCTCTTCATCATAGTTTAGCGAATTATAACTATTATAGTCGGTATTATGTGAATTCATGGCTTTCAGGTTTTTCGTCATTTTGGTGTCGAGTATTGCTTGTTATATTGAGATGCGCTAGTCTTAAATCTGATGTATTATTTCGTAGTGTTTTATGTGGCTGAATGCCATGGTTTTGTCCTACATATCAAGGATTTTAGTATTAGAAAAGATCAGGAAATGAAACTTCTTTTTTTGTTCCTGTATCATTTTTTTACTCTGATGTTTGTTTCGCAGTTGACTATTTACCAGTTGGGCGACGGCAGTGGTAGCAATAATCTAAATTCAATTGCAGAGATTAAAATGACGGTGGTGCAATTTCACAAATTGATTGGATTCGGATATTTAGATTCAAAAATCCTGACTTAGTGTGAAGGTATCATGCTTTGTAGAAGACCTAAATGTCATGGGATCGGTTCTTGGTGGAGTCGTAGATATGTGCACCGCTAAGGATTCTTAAACTAGAACGAAATGTATGTCCAGTGCACCATGATGTAAAACGGTTTTTCATATGATTTCAGTTCGTGATAAAAAATTTCAAACCATACAACAGTTTGAACGAATTTTCATTACTCTTAATCTCATTGGGAAAAGGCAGTCTTTTTTAGAAAATTCTCTTTTACGTTAGAATATGTCTTTTTATTCTTTAAAGTAATGGGTGTTTTATTCCTTGGTATTCTATACTATTCAGTTGAAGCCAGTTCTTTAACAAATCCAAATGGTTTGGTGGACAGTCAAGCTGGTTATCGCTATCGTCGGTTGTCACAATTTACTGTTGGTGGAGTGTATGAATGTAATTCGAATTGTCAATGTGATCGTCGATGTAGCAATCGAGTGGTCCAACAAGGATTGTGGGTTAAACTTCAAGTGTTCAAAACTGCTCGCAAGTAATACGTTATTATTTTGGAAGTTGTTATAAATATATTTGATTATTACTTATGTGTTGTTATTCCTCTTTATTAAACGTGATCCACTGACATTCGCCCTTAAGGTATTGGTTTCAGTAATCATGTATTTGTGTAGAATCTGAGATTACATCAATCGATATCACTTGAGTAGCCAACCCAAAACTTAGCATTAGTCTATGTAGTAATTGACTATTGATCTGAACCGTGTTAGTAGGTATAAATTATCTGGTAATTGTTCAGTGGAATATCTTGAAGTCGTTCGGAGTAGTACTAATTGATCTATTCCATATAGTGCATTGTTTATCGGCATTGGGGCTATTTGGAAAAAGCGGGATGGTGGTCGGCTTATAACAGGGTACTTAGATTTGAAGAAAAGTTGCATATGATTGACATTTATTGGTCCATCACTAATCCTTGGTTGAGGTTCTAGAGATTATGTAACTCAGTGGTTTTATACGTTATCAGACATGGCTCAAAATAAAAGCCAGTATCATAAAAATCAGAGGAACCTTTGTAGCTAAAAGTATTCTTTCTGGTTTTATTATTCTGAACTAACCTGCTTCTCTCACCATCTACTTCTCTCATTTACTTATTTTCTTTCGTTTTCTTATTGTGTGGCTCATTTATTTTGGTACACATTCGTACCAATATTTATGTGTTTGAAAATAATAGCAATTGTTTTAGATATTAAAATTAGTTACTCCATCAATCAAGATACTTAAATTATATGAAGTTTCATATTTGATTTTTTGTTCATTTTTTACTGTAAGAAGTATTTTGATTTATTTATTTGTCTTACTTCTTACTTTAGGGGTTGGGGTATCCGTGCTTTAAATGCAATTCCCAAAGGTACATTTATATGTACTTATGCAGGAGCTATTTATGATGAAGCCATGGCTGTTCAGGTAAATCTGTTCACAATTTTCATCTATTGTTTATTTATGGAGTCCCCTACAGTAGAAAATATTAGCTGAATTTATATATTTATCTTACTTGGGAATTCCTTATCTCTTGTGATTAACTTAAAACCTACTTCTATCTTACTGGATACTTATGGTTTTTTATAAAGTCGTTGCTATATAATCGCTGTGTACTGCTGAGCTCGTTGTTGAATGATGGTTGGTTTCAACACAACATTTATTTGCTACTGAAATTGTAAAGTTTATTCGATTTAGGACCAAATAATTTGAGGTGATGTCTGAAGATCAGATAATACATTTAGTATGTAACATATTAAAGGCAAATTTCGGCAAATCTTAAATTCAATACATGTTGGAGTTAATTGAAACTGTAGACTACATTTTAAACATTTTCTCTCATATTCATTATCAGTAAATATAACGAAAAATTATAATTCTCGATTAATAAATAAAATAGATACTTGTTTATTGATAAAGAGTAATTCACAGGGAATTTAACAAGTTTGACCAATGTTTAACTGAATAGTTTGGCAAATAATAAGCGTTATGTAAATTTAAAACATTTCGATCTATATGGAAAACGTTATCTCATTTCACTGAAATTTCAATCTGGCCTTATTTTCATGCAAGTAAACTAATCGCAATTGAAATATCGTTAATAAATAGGTATATTTATTGATATATATAGCGGTGATTTTCATCGCAGATTGATGTTAGTTGAGATACTGTCGAATATCATAGGGCTGTGGGCAGTAGTTTCGTTTTAGTGTGGCTCCTCACCAGACCGCAGCGACCCCTAGCCTAGGACTTTCATGTCTCACAGCACGCGTTTAACCATCAGACCACTGTGTTGGAGCCATATATCACACACCTCCTACTTCAGTCAATTAGTGATGTAAAACCATAATAATTTAATCCCATTTCTGACTATTTTTTACGGAGGATAATTTTCTGTTGTCAGACTTCAGTGAGTATAAGTGAAATCGATGGATAATATGCAGTGACATGTGACTAAGTGATGGCTGCTCATATAAGAAGATTATTGAAGTAAGCTCCCGAATGATTTTAAATCTAAAACAAGAGAATACTGGGAGAATTGTAGGGTTTTTATGTGATAAAATGACATACTTATATATACAAAACATTAATACAAAATAAGCATGATAAATTGTCATAGGAGATTACAGGAAACTAGTTTGAAGGTTGCTCAATCTCCAACTAGTTAAAATGTAATTATTAGGCTTAATTCTTCCAAATCGTATTAGTTTACCTTTCAATATGTTTGAACTTTGATGGTTATAATTTATCACTTAAACTTTACGAATTCATTTATAAATTGATAGTATACAAATTGTAATCCACAAACTCAAGATTTCACAATGTGCATGAAATCATTTTAGCCTCACAATTCCATAACTAATGCTATCGCTTTCTGGTTTTCGTTTGTTTACTGGTTTACACTGACTTGCAAGCAAAATCACTTATTGATATGCTACCCAAAATTAGGTCTAACAGCCATGGATAATTTAATTAAAGAATGAGTGACTTACAAGTTTACTTCGTCTAATTGTCCACGATATTTTATTCTGCTTATTTTGTGTTCATATTGTGTGTAAAAGCATGTTATTTTATTACGTGTAAAACCTACTCAATCTGACTAGTAGTGTTGTCTTTGATTTTGGGGACTTAAATCATTGATGCAGTCTCGTAAACAGTTATCACTCAACCGAATCATATCATTGTGTTTGTCATTCGATTGACATTCTACTAATCGATTTTGGCAATCCAAGTTTCACATTACTGTTTTCTTCAGGGATTTAGGTTGTTTCCAACTTTCTTTTACTGTATCGTAGGAAATAACATTTCGAAATGGCCACTAAGTAATTTCAGAGATGAATTAACTGTATAGGTTTTCATTTTATTGCTAGACATTTCGATCTGGTTATTGTTTTTATGAGTATTAAACATGCCAATATCCTTTGGTTGATTTTATTCATTGTCTTATGGTAATTTCGAATTATCGAGATTACATTATCACTGACAATTAGATGAAAATATTGGTAGCATTTAAGTGGCTAATTAGTCAATATAATTTAATCTAATGAAAATCAATTACCCTAAAAAGTATTTTTTTAATGCTTCCCGACGATAATCTTGAATGTTTCACTATGCGAATGTATTTTGAACTGAAGTAGGCCTTTTGTAGACATGACTTTAAGGAATAAAAGTTATAGAAGTCTATGAACATTAACTGATATCCATTGTTACTAGATTAATTTAGTCCTGTAAATGTCAAAACTCAGATTAGTAGAGTTTCGTCAGAATTATTTTATGCTAATATTGGGCTTCTATATTTTCTCTTCTGGCTATCCTCTATAACTTATTTTCTACTTAATTAGCACACTTTATGTATTTTTAGTAATGTTACACCCTCCGTTTTTCAATACCTTTGTTTTGCCACAATTTTTACCACACTTTAAATCTATTGTTCCTCACATTACACTAGGAAGGCTTTGATTGTGGCGATGAATATCAAGCTGAATTAGATTACATTGAAACAGTTGAAAAAGATAAAGAAGGTTATGAGTCTACGGTTGAAGATTTAAGTGAAATACTAAATGAGACAACAATTGCTCTAAGTGATACCAAAAAATTTACTGATGAAAATAAAGTGTCACACATTTCTACTGTAACTGATCAACGAGTTCATTCTTCTCGTAGCAACAGTACTACCACGAGCAATAATACACCTATCGATAATGATAAGGATGAATCTGAATCGGATAATAGGCGAAATACAAGCAGTGCAACTTCACCTGTATCTGAATCAACAGCCATTGATGTTGACGAGAATGATGACGATGATGTTGATAATAATTATGATGATAAGACAAGTCGAAGCAGTGAAATAAGCAGTAATTCGTCTAGTCGTAATGCACTAAATTCAACAAAACCATTATTGTTGAATAGAAATTACGACAGTAGTGAGTCGTGTTTGAATACAGATAATGATTTAACACAGACTAGTGTTCAACAGACTCATAATTCTGTTAGTGTTCGTATTAAGAAGAAGAAACACAAAAAGGAGGAGAAAAGGAAACCGAAAAAAAGAATTTCATTACCTCCAATATATCCAAAACTTACCGAAAACCCTACTAGTAAAATATCAGATAAATATATTCAGAATATTTCTTCAACGTTAAACACTAAAGAAATGCATAATGATATCATGAATGATTCACCGGAACGCCCTAGAACAAAGCACAACTCACCTCTACCATATATCTCTGGTGATTTAGAACAGACAAGTAGCCTAATAACCTATTCTGATGTACAGTGTGGAGATACCAATCAAGTTATCCCGTCATCTGTTGACCTATGTGGTGAAATAATGGACTCGTCTAATTTGTCACATGTTGTCTATAGTGAAGCTGGCAAAACTGAAAATAATTTATCAGATAACACAATATCTAGTATTCAAAGTCAATCTAAAAATCCTAAAGTGAATATAATTTTTAATGGAAATAACAATGAACAAATTGCATCGATTAGATCTCGGTGCACTGTACAAGATGTGATTCAAGAAATATCTGAAACTATTATTCCAACAAAAAATAGCCTGGAAAAACCAAAAACTATTGAATTGTCAAACATTTCAAATCAGTCATCACATTCCAGTTTAAATGATACTCAGTCAAAGGCTTTAGTTAGTAAAACTCAAAAGAAAATGAAAAAAATTGAATCGTCTAAGCATTACAAACCGATAAAACCGAAAGTTCAAGTTAATTTATACCCTGTTGTTGAAAAAGAAGATACATCGATTTCACATTTTCATTCTATGTTTAGTAAAATTAGTAAACATTCAAACCAAGTAAAATTGAAAAATAAATCCATAAAATCTAGATCAAAGTCATTATCAACCAACTCTTCGGCTAATGAATTATATAAGAGTGAATTTAAAAAAATTTGGGCGAATCGAGCAGCCAGTTTACCCCGTAGTTTTCGATTATTACTTAATGCTAGACAATTATTACGTGAATCGGATTTCAGTCGTATACCAGTAGTACACTTATGTCGTTTAGAAAATGGTGAGTTTACTTTTCCACTTACCGATATCTTGTAACGTATGACTTTTTTATTTATGGACTTGTAGTCGCGTACTTCAGTTTTCGCTAGTTTGGGATTCACCTAATTACTGCCAATTTCACGTTTAGAGTTTTGATTATGGCATTTGTACCGATATTCAGTATTTTTGTTGAACATGTGAAGACTAAACTTCTCTCCAAACTGAATTAAAGGATAGATTTAAATATATATTTAAAACTTACTTTTTCCTGTCACTGACCATTTATCATACCAAGCAATAAGGCAGGTTTATAAAAGCAAAAGCAACACACTTATCGGGTTTATATTGTTAAAACAATTTTCATTGAGCTAGACTGTAATAGACATTTTTTAAAGCTTTATAGTCCATGATTCTTTATGAAGTTATCATAAAAACATTAATGTAGTATTTTACATTTAAATCATACTTATTTGAGTAAAGGTGGGTGGGTGGCTTAGTGATGTCATTTCACGATTCAATATACAGAACTTGCCACTTATTTTTATTTATTTATCTGAATACATAAATATTGGTACAAGGGGGGCACTAAATATATATGCGCCACACAAAACAAAGAGAATAGGAAAAGAAAAAGAAGGTAAGGTGCATATAAAAAAAACAATAACGATCACAGATTAGTGTGTGTGGTGGTGTAGTAATAATAATAATGGGAGGAAACGGAAAGGCACAACCAGAAGAATTCTTTCAGTTAAGGAAGACACAACGACTTTTTACGAAGAAAGTAAAAGAAGGTTACAGCAGGATCGCCTCTGGCTTCTATTCTGAGCCATATCTGATAACTTCTCGAGCCATTGTGTTGCACCATCTCTAGGACCCCAACCAGGGAGCCGTGAAGGACCAACAGAAGCCAGCCCCTTGCAGCTTTCTTTCATACCACGACACCGTGCCATATACTGACCACCTCTCCGCTTTTTCCAACCAGTCTCAGCGTCGACAAATAATGCACGACGTGGAATTCTCTGGGACGACATTCGGAGAACATGTCCAAGTCACCGAAGTCGGTGTTTCAAGGTGGTGACACCAATCGGATTATCGTCTCTGTGTCCGAACACACGATGCCGAACCTCTTCATTACTGACATGGTGTTGCCGCTGGATGTCAGCAATCCTTTGGAGACAGCGATGATCGAACACAGAGAGTCGTCTAACATCCTGAACTCGTTGAGGCCAGGTTTCACAAGGATAGAGCAAAACTGCCCTCACCGACGCGTTGTAGTTCCGACCTTTTACAGCCAGACTGACATCACGAAAGCGCCAAAGATGGCCCAGATTGACATAAGCCACTCTGGCTTTCACTATACGTGCATTGATCTCATCACTCACGCCACCACCAGCACTTATGCAGCTACCTAGATACACGAACTTCTCGACTACTTCTATCTGCTCACCATCCAGGGTGAGTACAGGATTAGAAGAAACCCAGTGCTTATAAACGCGAACCCACAACTGACTGTACCCGCCATTTTCATGGCGTCGTGCAATTGCAACCAATGCTCATCTATACTTTTCAGTGGAATATTAGCTAGCCTAAAAGCTAGCTCGATTCGACACTTGCTAGCAACAGAAGTTGCAACCAGCTTGCTGATATCAATCCGTTGATGGCGGTCACTTCGTTGGCCGCTGAAAAGTAAGGCAAGATTGGCACAGACCAAGGCATGATCAGAGTTCAGATAGGTGCTCCAAAAGGAGCGTCAGTCTTGTACACAAGCACGCCAGCGGTAGCTGACCGCGATTTGATCAATCTGGGTTCAGACTTGAGATGCAGAGGGAGGACGCCAGGTGGCACATCGGCGATGACTGTGCCGGATGTTAGTGCTGGCCAGAAACAGTTTGTGGTCTATGCACAGTTGCAGTAGACGGTCTCCGTTATCTGTCCTGCGACCAACGAGTCCCCATCGGCCACCTCAGCGACTCGCCAGCAAGACCAAATGAAGATGACACAGGGTTTCGGATAAACCGTTTCAGTATTCGCATTCGATTTTCGACCAGTCAGTGACTCGAGATCGTTTAGCTAGAATCGAGTTTCCACCATGGGTGAGCTGCTGTATAAGTTGAAAAATAAGGATACACAAAGCGGGAATAAAAGGGAGTGAATAAGTGACTTGGTACATAATAATAATAATACTAATACTAATACTAATACTAATACTAATAATAATAATAATAATAATAATAATAATATGAATCGTTTGACAGTTAATCGAAGCGTGAATAGTATTTTCAGTAAATATCGTCATTTCATTTTATCTGTTTATGGGCTGTGATACTGCCCAGGCGCCACACCCCGAGCCTTTGAACTAAAGGTCTGACCCATAAGGCAATGGAGCATCGTGAGGAGATGCAGTTCCATGGTAGCCGGTGACCAATAATTGGTTCATATGACATTTGTTCCTTCAGGATACTGGAGCCCATGTGCGCCATTTGTTTGAGATCAGGGTTTTTAACACCCCTAGTTGGACTCACCGTGTCCATCGACCTGGCTAAAGCGCCGGACATTCGATTACTACTACTGAAAACCAGATAGTATGATCTGCATTCAGTTGTTTTATTGTATTTCCTTGTTATTATATAGTTAGAATCGATAACTTAATTTCTGGAGCAATCAGTTAGTAAATTTTTTTGTAGGCCTATCTAGTGTAATCAGTTAGCTACCGGTTATATGAATCGTATAATGAAAATATCCTTTAAATGTTTAGTTATTGTCCTAATGTTATTTTTCCATACTTATGTAGACATTAAACAAGAAGACCATGATATAGAAATGAAAAACGTTATAATCAATAGTGATGATACAAAGTCTTCAAATGATGATTCAAAGCCTAAATTTGAATTACCAGTTGAAGTAAAGGAAGACGTTAAAAATGAACATTGTGATAGTTCAACAAATACTGTTGATTCAAAGAAGGATCTTAAAATTTCAAAAGTTGACACTTTAGAAAAGTTTGTAATTTTGAAAATTGTTTTCGCTCATACTATTTATATTTTTTATGTATATCTCGTTAGTAATTTTCCTTACAATCTGACGTCAACTTAAAATTATTAAATGATTGTTTCTTCACAGTTCTAGGAACTCAACAGCATTGCACATACACAACCTTTCGGTTGAGTTTGAAGACAGAATTATTTACACTTAGTCAGATTTCGAAGACTCACATTTTCAATTTCAGTGCTTTTCGATTTACATTAGCTGTCTGGTTGATGTCATTAATGATAAATGTATGACAAGTTTACTAGCTATAAATTAAAACTACCATCTTCAAGAAAGTTATTTTCAATGGATTTAGTGTATTTTCCTCTTTTGTTTTCGTTGGTAAAGGACGTTTTTTTACTGTCTTAGATTCTTGCCTACTGTTCGTTTCTCCGTGATTCACTTTATATGCATAAAACTCCTATTTTACTTAGTGAAACTTCAAGAACTAGCTAACTTTTATTGTTTTGTATAAAATCCTAGCGATGATGATGTTTGAAATTGAATCACAAAATATTCAAGACTAAATATTTTTCCTATTTGTATCAGAGACATAATAACAATAATTAATAGGTATTTCTTGAGCTAGTCTTTGCCCAAATTGTAATACTAACTCGAAATGACCTTACACGGCCCATATTTATTTAAAATTTTATAGTGTCAACCCATTTTAACTTTTTTTATGCAAGCGGATTTATTCGAGTTGAACTATGGTTAACAATCGTATGCCAAGACGTGGGTTCCGGCTTATTTGGTACTCTTTCAGGTTGTATCTCCATTCCAGAGTTGATGTTTACACTAAGGCTCAAAGCTGGTACTTTATATATATATATATATATATATATATATATATATATATGGATATAAGTTTTCTCTTCGATTCATATTCCTTATTTTTAGTGATTCCCAGTTAGAAACAATTGGTGATACATCGAAAGTCACTTCAGTATCTGCGAATTCACCATCATATAAGCATCAAGGTAGCCTTAAATTAAGACTTCGACGTGTCCGTTCAACAAGTTCATTTAAAGCTGTACGTCCCTCTACCCCACCAATAAGCAAGGAAATTTCAAAATCTGGAAAAAGTTTGTCTGAAATGTAAGTTAAATGAATAGCGTAACATTAGTAAATACGATTTTTATAAATGACAAATTAATCATTATTTTGCCTTAAAATCTTTAAAAAAAATTTGTTGATTTTACATATTGGGTAACACTACAAACTGGAACATATATCTCAATTTATTCAAAACTCATCAGCCTCATGGATCTAAATGATATTCTTATGATGTTTTCATTTCATTTGGAACCTACTACTTATGGTCTAATATTCTCGAGTTACATTACTAGTCTTTTTTCTTCAGCACATATTCTTTTTTCCATAGGCTTTTCTTATTCAATGAATCAATCAAAAAGGAATACTTTAATGTGGGATTCATCAAAACATTTTTGTTTCTTACTATTCAAGTGTTTTGATTTAAAGTAGATCATTTCATTATAATTGTCAATACAGAGAAAGTTTGTTGAAATTCTAACATTTATTTTTGTGTTTAGTGATGAGAAGAACAATCAAGTTGCTAGAGAATTACGCAGACGTGATAAAAGTAAGTTTATGTTTATATTTTTGATCAAATAATTCCCTTGTTTCTTCGTGAAATGATATTGTTAGTGGTCATTCAAGGTGTATATTGTTTGGATTTTTGGGAAGAAAAACTAATAAGTACACGATTCTAATATATTATTTGTAGATTATCATTTTATTTGGTTTGTGTAGCGATAAGTCTTCAAAATGAACGCTTGATTCGATTTCCTAACTGCTTCTAGTAACTCCATACTGAACGTACACGGCAACTTAGACACAAAAGAAAAGATGTGATGTTCAAAATCAGAGACTGATGATCAGGATTTATTTGACTTCCAAAATAAATCTAATTGATTTAAAAATACATCACATTTTATATGATTTATTTACAGTTAGATTAACAGTCAGATTTCTATAAAATAAATTGAGTTATATTTAACGATAATAATTCAATAAGTTACTGTGTAACTACATATTTGCAACATTATATAATTATGCATCTATAATCCTTCTTAAGATATGATGAATACGTGTCACACGATTGGTAACAAATCAGTTTGATATGTCATTCCCATTGATTTAAGCTATTACTCGCCATATCATGTAGCCATCACCATTTGAAAGAACTCATATGTGATCATCGAGTTAAGTTAATTAAAATCAATTAGTTATCGTTACATTTAAAAGCTTGCTCATTTGCTAATGAGGCGGATTTTTCATCTTCAGTTCAACGTTCAGCTAGTTTAGAACCTGAAATCAAGGATAGAAAACCACTAGAACGTTCAAAATCACATCGGAAAGACAGTGAAAGACAACATCGTCGCCAACACCATCATCATCACCATCACCATAGAAATCATCGACAGCAACAGTTACAACAACTATCACAGTCTCATCAACAAAATCAACAACAAACTAAACGTATGTATCCTGTTGCTCAAAAAGACTGGCTACGAGCAAGAACATATTTTAATGATATCAATCCATATATTATGGATGCTAAGAAAATGGGAAATCTTGGACGCTATTTTAACCATTCATGCAATCCAAATGTATTTGTTCAAAATGTATTCATTGATACACATGATCCTCGATTTCCTGAAGTTGCTTTCTTTGCAAAACGGTTCGTTTATATTTTTCTCATTTTGCCTATTTATCTAATTACAATATTGTTCACTGTCAAATTAGTGATATGTCAAAGTTCTTTTTTTTCTTAATTTTAAGTAGTTTTACAAGGAAATAAATAATAATTAGTAATAAAAACTGCATTTTCCCATGTTTATGACGTGTTAAACTTTTCACCATCCACTCATTATTGTATAAGAGAATAAACATAAATTGATCTGATGTAAATTTACAAATAGAGATTTCCATAATGTATTTTCTAGATGTTTGTTACTGTCTTAGGTGACACTATTTTTTTAGCATAAGTTGAAGTGTGTATGAATCAAGGAATAAAACGTGACTAATAAATATTGTTGTTCATGTCCTAGGATAATTAGTCTAATGTTTGCACGTCACTTAGTGATATAGCCTGATGTTACATTCACGTATATGAGTAATATGTTGTAATATAATATGAATAGACTTATCCTAAAGGTACTTTTTCTTTAAAAAGGCTTATTTTACTGTGAGGATAATTAATTATTAAAGCAATTAGTCCCTTTCTTAAATTTTGATAGATCAATGGGAAGACGGAGTTGATTTGAAAAATGTGATGTGTTTGCACCATAAATTTCGAACAATCTGGTCATATATATATTTGTCAGGGCATTTTATATGAAAATTAATACCTGTCAATGAAATGAAGGTTCGAGTAAAAACAGTAATAAAGGAGAGAGAAGAAAATCCTTACATCGTATAGAAAGAATAAGAAATTTAAAGAGGAGAATTCGTCCTTGACAATTTCTACACAATGTTTTAAAAGCTGTATTGATGTAAATTTTGAGCCCCGTTTCGATTATATGTTTCGCTATCGATGAACATAGCATTCTACCTCCCACGTTAATCGGATCATTTGACACTAATTGGTTTTGAAGCCATCTAGGTGTATGTTCAATGACGCTTGATTGCATTGTTCGATTACTCCTTATGTACGTGTGTCAGCACAAACATGTAAATTGGTAAATGCAATGAGATATAAAGTAATCATTTGTTCATTATCTAGGTCTATTTGAAATCATGGTCTTAGATTTTTCAATCACAACCAGTTTAGCAGCATAATAAGTTTTCTCGATGGTTGCTTTCAATCCCTGTCTTAAAACTGTACCATTGGATTCACCTCTATATAGTTGATAGATATAAGCCTTTTTCTTTGGAGCTGAATAAACGAAAGGTCTTGGCGTTGAATGACTTTTGCACTCATTTGTAAACTTTAGTGTGTCAGTCAGCATCTTGCCATCTTCCTCAACCGTATCAGTAGTGTAAATTCTTCGAATCCTATTAAAGAGGCACCTAGTCAAGCCTTGCACTTATTGCCATGAACGGAAACCATGGGAATTTAAATAGTGCCCCGTCCAAGTTGGTTTCCTATAAACTGACCGTCTCATAGTACTGTCCTCCTTTCGACCCAAAGGTATGTCAAAAGGACAATTGGCCACATTGTTCGAAATGTATAGCGCGAATCACATTTTTCAGATCAACTCCGTCTTCTTATTGCTCTATCGAAATTAATTATTAGTTGAAATTTTAATCAGTAGTTTGCTGTCATCCTATTGTTTATGACGTTCATTTTAAAACTAATGAAAAGCTCAGATATGTGATATTTATTTTCATTTAATTTCAATCGATCATTCATATAAGCTATTATTAATCTAGTAGGGTAAATTGTTGCTCAATTGGTGAAAAGATTTGGTTTTTTACATGTGTTCAGTAATTTAGTTAACGCCAAGACTGCAACAACAGTTTTTTTTTAAATTTCTGTAGAGCCTGATAGTAATAACAGTTGTTGACTCAAATATTCTTTGTTTAGTCAAACCATTTCATCTGGAAACGTTCGGTGTTTTTTTTTCGAAACAATGTGTTGACGTATACATAGCTATAGAATTGATCTGATTACATGTGGAAATGTTTCAAACACTGATGTTATGTATCATAATTTTGAGATTAAATAATGTAAAAGAAATTCTATAAAAGTTGTTATTTTCAACAACTTGGGAACTGTTTACAAATAAGATGGTCAATTATTCACCTGACAATTAGGAAGATGAAGAAAAAAAGTTGAAAGATGACAGCGAATCAATGACCAACCTAATAAAAAAGGCAGTTCAAACTTTATCAAAATTAAGGATTGGTCTTACAGCTTATGTCGAAATAAATGAACTTCGTGATTATCGACTTTTTGTGAGATGTTATAGTTGCTACTTTTAATTGCTTGTCTTTTTAGTAGTATGAATTAAGTAGACTGGTTATCGATTATGCGTTATTGATAGCTTTAGATTCTTTTCGTGGTAGTCTGGCAACATGCTTTCTCGAAGAAACATCTGGTGTGCAGGTGACGTAATATGTCATACAAAAGTAGTTAAACTTTTATACACATTGGGATGAACTATCGTTGTAAATTGTTCTTATTACCTAAAAATCATTTGTTCATCAAAGAATACAAACCGAAACTCTGTAAGGTAGTTTTGTTGAAACTTCCTACTCTCACTTCTTGGAAGTATTCACTGTAGTTTCACCTTTAAATCAACCTTCAACAGTGTATAAAATTACACTTTTTTTAAGAGGTATCCAGAAATAGAGTCATTCCTAATGTGCAATTATTGTTATGCAGTATCATGTTTTATTTTAAGTAGTGAGTTACATCACACTGACATTTTTCGTATTGATTATCTACATAAATTTCAGGAATATAGACGTTGGAGAAGAAATGACTTGGGACTATGGATATACTGTTGATGCAGTACCATTTAAAGTGCTCTACTGTTATTGTGGTGAACCTAACTGTCGAATAAGACTCTTGTAATACATTGTACAGCTAAATCAAACTTTGTGTTTTTATCATGTATTCAAATTATCAGAGAATAGGTTTTCCTGATTATTTTTGTATCTATACAGTTTATCTATGTAAACAATAAAGTTTTATCTATATGTCAGTTGTTTCTGTATATTTACCTGTCCAATCTTAGGGGTAAGTGTTGTAACGTTTGTTTCTCAAGCGTTTCGCTTTTAACCTTGCTAATTGACTATGTTGATTGTTACCGTCTTTCAGTGAAATAGTTTCTTCAAGCTAATCAATTCAATTCTGGGATTTATAGTTGTTTCTTGTTCGTATTGTATTCAGAAGTCATGTACTAGTCTTTATTTTAGGTATTCATTTTGTCTTCTTATTTGTATGGTCGAGGGTTTGTGGTTTTGGGAATTTTATGCTTCGAAATAATAGCGACTACGTTAACAAAACACTTGTTTGTAAAGAAAAAAACAGAGAAAGTGTTGTGCTTTTAAGCCCGGCTAATTATCACGCGACTTATTTGCCGATCGGAATACGACTTATACAATCTTGGAACTGTGCCAAAACAATGACGTATCGACCGGTATGAGCGGCCCAGCATCCTTATTGTTCCTTTCTCCTCCTAGCCCGTCCAGAACGCCAATGACAGCTTCCATTATGCGAATCATTTATTTCAAACATACTTGGCTTTTATACCAGCCAAACAGACAATATCACACCATAAAATAGGAAATAACATTTGTGCAAGATCAAGCCAAAGAGTGAATATGATTTTGGGAGACTGTAATTAATAAACTGAAAATAACCTAGGGACAGTAAATCGTATAATACTAGTCTATAGATCAAAATAATACTTATAATAAGAGAAATGTGAATATACATAATCTAGTTACTTAACAACTATACAAAAGAATATATATATATAGTATTAGTCCATAAGTAGGTCCCAACAGTTACCATTAGTTCTCACCTTGTTATAGAACTAATTAAGATTTCAAGACATGATGGTTATGCATCTGAGCTCTAAGTTTTCCTAAAAACAGAACGTTGTGCAGCAGTATCACACTTGAAATTTTTCTTGGTATTTTTTACGGAGATATTTTCGCGAAATAAAATACCTGACTACAACAAATTAAATTTATTTTGAAGCCTATATACTGGCTTTGTGGAACGCAGACTATTCTTTATATTTTTGCGGTTCATTTTTGTTATATCCAGATAAGAATAATGAATGGTAACTTTTTGGATCCATTTATGAAACAATACTATGAGTATATTTTTATCGTATAATTGTTATGTAATTAAACTGTTCATATTCATGTCGCTCTAATTATAAGCTTTAATTTGACCCATAGACTATTATTATACGATTTACCATTGATGAGTCATGGCCTGTCTATTAATTACTATCTTCCTCATTGACAGCCACATTTGACTAAATATTGTACAAATGGTGTTTATATTTTATGATACGTTGTGGTCTGTTTGATTGATATATAAACCGAGTATGTTTGGAATAAATGATTCATATTGCAGAGGCTGAGATTGGTGTTCTGAACTTAACTGGTTGAGCTAGACAGGAAGCGAGGCCAATCAGGACTCTAGGCTGCTCGCACATGTTTTATGCGTCACTGGTTCGATCGATAATTCGCTGTTCTCTGATTAGCGGTATCGTTGCGTTATCCAATATACAGTACACACAGGTTCACAAGTTATAACAATTTTTATTTTTCTAATAATGGTCTTTGTTTCCTCGAAACTGCATTTTAGTATTATTCCATAAACATCATAGAACATTAGGGAAACAAAGGTTGTTTCTATTGGTAAAAAGACAGATCGATTTTCTAAAGAACAAAGTGGCGGATGAAATTTAATAGGAGTTACAAGGGTGTTAAAATTTAGTTCATCTTCCTCAAAAAATATTTTAAAAAGTGACGACAATTCAAGTTCAACTGTCATGTGGAGTCATTTTTTTAGATTAATAACAGTCGTTTATGTTGTACACTTTAAACTTGTAAAGATAGTCACAACAAATTTTGTAAATAGTTTGTGATATTATTTGCATTTCTTTTGGCAATTCTCATAATTTGTACATTTACTACAAATGATCGTAAAAGTTGTTTAAAATCGCATGGCCTTGAGTATTTTCTCTTCCGTTTTGGATCCTTCATAGCACGACACACTGCTAACCACTCACAAATACACATCTCACGTTCTCAAGTGCCTGTTCTTACGATAACTGAACTCTAAAGATATTTGTTATCTACATTTATAGACCACAGTCATATTTCCATTAAATATCCCACCTGACTATACCGCTGGAATTTCAACAACCTTTATTGGAATTATGAATCACCCAAAATTGTGGATTATCACACCAAATGCAGATGGACACGCAAGAGCCTGTCAATTTAGGTGACGTCCGTAAATTTTCCTTGTGTTTATAAATTATATTTAGCATATTAAAACATTAATTTTTGGACGTAACAACTTTATTATCATTTTTGAGTTAATGTAGTTATTGGTCGACCGCACAGTCATCACAGCAACGACTCCAGGTGGAGCTTACTGCTTAGTTTATTCCTTATTGTTTTCAATTAAACTTCAAGACTTTGTTGCCCACAACTTAGCCGTTTTTTCGGGTCAATAATCTGCATATATGATTGAAGAACCTGAAGACGGTTTATCGAAAAGAATATTCTTCGTTCAAATATTAGTCTTTTATTATGATGGGGATCTCTAGACGATTAGAAAAATATGGGTTTATGGTCGGTTATTATAGTTAATTCACGTCCTTGTAACAAGAAGGTGAATGCTTTACCGCTAAATAAATAACCAGTGATTCACGTCAAAAGGTACCGTAACGTTCTTGAGCTGGCGATAGTCATTTGGAGAAGAATGCTATAGGTGTCATAATGTCGTATACTCATTGTTGTAATACTGCCCCTTAAGCTTCCTGAGACGCATCAGTGCAGAGAATAAGGTGTGCTGTAGAGGCAGACTTTAAGTGATGCGACATAAAAGTATTTGATATCATAGACTTTACTTTATCAAAAGCATCTGGAGGTCAAATGAGGAATTTGTCTCTTTTTAGTTTGTTCCTTTGTTATCTTATTTCAAAAGATCTGTTACAGATTCTAATGTTACTGAGCGATTAGGTAAGAAACGACGGCAAACATTGCACATACCAAGAAATCAACGTAGTGATCTTAATGAATTCGGCTCTGTGTAATTGATAGTAGCTTCTACATTTTCGTGTAGTGGCTTGATGCCTTGTGAGTCGATGTGATGTCCTAAAAACTCTAAGGCTGGAACGCCGAATATGGACTTTGAAGAGTTAATTACGACACAACAGCTTTCGAAACGGTCAAAAAGGATGTGTAAATGTTGTATGTACTCTTCTGTGGATACTTTGACGATCAAAACATCGTCGATATATACAAAAACAAAGTAAAAACCTCTTATAACTTCGTCCATGAATGACTGGAAAGTCTGAGCAGCATTCTTTAGTCCGGAGTGCATCTTCAAGTATTCAAACAAACCAAAAGGTGTGATAATGACTGTTTTTTAAATATCTCCTGGTGCCATCGGAATACGGTGGTATGCTCATACGCAGTCCAGTTTCGAAAAAAACTGCTTTCCATGTAAGTTCAAAGAAAAGTCATGTAGGTGAGAGATTGCATACCTGTATGGGGCAGTTTAACTATTTAAATGACGATAGCATCAACATTGGCGCCAGTTCTGATCTTTCTTCAAAACCATATGTAAGGGTGAAGCCCATGGGCTACTTGATTGTCGAATGATGCGAAGTCGCGTCATATGTTCGAACTCCCTCTTCACGGTCCTCAATTTGTCTAATGGTAGTCTTCGCGACTTGGCACAAATCGGTGGACCTGTGGCTGTTATGTGATGAACGTTGTGTAAGGTGCATTCATTTTGGTGATCAACTCCGGTGACGCATTCATAAAGGGCGGTCTGCTTGAGCATCTGGGCTACCTGTTCCTGCCATCTAGATATTTCAACAAGTTATCTATTGTTGTTTGTTTTAATATATCATTATGTTTATTGATCGCATAACCTATTCTGCTGCGTTTCTGAAAAGTGTACAACCATTCGTTGTCAAAGTTACAGAAAACTCAATAAGAGACATTGTGGTTGCTGGCAATATACAGCTAAAAGAATGCGCATTATTCAGATGTTTGTTTACTGAACTGCTAACATCTAACTGGCGATCACTCAATATTTATCGCCAGGACCGACCAAGAAGAAAGAAACGGAAACTTGTTGAAATACTTTACGCTGAGAATTCTATATTGTACTAAAAATATAATTTTGAATAGAGCTGATGATAATAATAATACTTGGAAAGGACGTCAGTGAAAATCTTATTGATTGGCTTTACCATCCGGACACCATGAATTTCTCAGTTAGTGTTAGTTGTACCATTCACATGCAGACTGGTATTTCCGTCGACCAGTTTCTTTCCATTCATGCTCACTAACAGTTCATAAGCACTGAAAACGTCGGCACCATAAATAGTTTGTTTGACTCGGGCAACCGAAAAACCACTAGAAGCGCCGTCGGAGTCCGAGGTCTAAAATTAAGGATTGCTCTTCATAGGTCTCGACAACTGTTTCGTTCGTGTACAGCGCCCTGACTGTGTACCATGTTTCTGTTGATACCAACAGACTCCTGAGGTCTGCTTAGGTGATCAAAGCTGCCTCGAAATTGGTTTCTGTCTGGACGGTGATCTAAGTCGTCTGGAGTGAACCGTGAGGTTAGACCAGTTGGGTAACGTGGTAAGGGCGTTTACAAGGGGACCTTAAATGTCATTAAGGTTATTAGGAGAGTAGATTATATGCGAAATAAACTAGTGAGTCATGTAAAATAAACAAAATAACAGAATAAACACCGGGCTCATCGGATAATTGCGGTGGACGAAAATTATTACGTCCAAAAATTAATGTTTTAATATGCTAAATATAATTTATAAACACAAGGAAAATTTACGGACGTCACCTAAATTGACAGGCTCTTGCGTGTCCATCTGCATTTGGTGTGATAATCCACAATTTTGGGTGATTCATAATTCCAATAAAGGTTGTTGAAATTCCAGCGGTATAGTCAGGTGGGATATTTAATGGAAATATGACTGTGGTCTATAAATGTAGATAACAAATATCTTTAGAGTTCAGTTATCGTAAGAACAGGCACTTGAGAACGTGAGATGTGTATTTGTGAGTGGTTAGCAGTGTGTCGTGCTATGAAGGATCCAAAACGGAAGAGAAAATACTCAAGGCCATGCGATTTTAAACAACTTTTACGATCATTTGTAGTAAATGTACAAATTATGAGAATTGCCAAAAGAAATGCAAATAATATCACAAACTAATTACAAAATAGGTTTGTAGTGGCTTCCTACCTAACTGTAAATTTCAAGCTTAGATACAGAAGATGTGTCGGGTGTGGTTAGGAGCTCTGTTTTGTCGGAAACAAGTTTACGTAAAAGACGCTTAGCAAAAGTTCATTTAATACATTCATTCCCTGCCATGATGGTTGTTGATTTACATCTTGGAAATCTATTGATCCCTGTGCATGAAGGTCCTTGACCGTAAGAAGTTATTCGATACCATGTGTTGAATATTCTCACAGAAACGTCTTCGACGCGATGTTGTATTTGGGAACATCGTCATTACATCACGGGAATCATACTGCAGTTCGGGATTCTGGACCTAAGCTAACTGGCTGATGCATTCCAAGTGACGTTCGGAGTTAGACAGTGTTGCTTACTGTCTCTTACTTCTGGTAGTTGAACGGATTATGAAGTCCTCCACATCAGAGGGGAAGCACAGAATACAATAGACAGGTTGGACGCAATTAGATTATTCAGACTTCAAGTATGACGTAGACGTTCCATCTATTCACAGAAACAATTGCAAATTATGATAGTCATTCCAGCATTAGCATCTACTTAAGTCTGTATTATTGATCAGATGCTCATAGTTTTTATCACCCGGAGTGTTGCTTGATTATATTACCGATAATTGCATTTCAGAGATTATTGGTGAAGATGTCAAAAATCAGGAAATGAGTGATAACATGGGAGTAAAAGTAAAGGCAGGGAATAATGTAGTCGTAAACAAGCTCAAAAAGTCAACGGAAAAATTTCTGAAAAAATTTGAACGTTATTAAAAGAATTTCCTTCTCTTTTCTAATTGATTGGAATATGGAGCGTCCAGGACTAATAAACCTGATTACATTCGAAATGCAAGATCTTAGGATAGGAAATCCGTTTTCTCTCATTCTCTACTGAGAAGTGAAGTTGGAGTTCCAAGATATATAATAATTATATTCTGAAAAAAAATAATAATGACCATGTTCTTTACACAGGTAGGTAATAAAACCTAAAATATCAGAATCTTATGATTAGTGCCTAATAAAATGGTTGAGGCGTTCAAAAAATTATCAAAAAGGATACCAGTCTGAATATGGTTCTACTGATCTGATCACTTAACGATCTTACAAACAAAGAAACTGCACTTTCTTCGCTAAAACGTTGATTAGAGGACCAGAATAAACGATATTCTGAGTTTTTTGGAAGCAGAACCAAAGTCATGATCTTAACCTTTTATAATTCTTACAACGGAAATATGGTTCATCGCGGATGTGGATGCGAACCAAACCATGAGAGATTATATCCGAGCTTCAAGATCACTTGCTTTTTTCGTGTAGTGTGTTGAGTCAACTCAATAGGTTACATTTGAGAACATCAGTTATAAATTACAATCGAATAAAAACCAAGTGACCAAATGGGTAATGTACTGTCTTCTTGGTCACGCAGCAGAACGTGCTAGACCTTGAATATAGTGCTAAGTTCAAGCATCTAGTTCATATCTCATTCAGAGCAAATACAATTTTAACAGTGACTAAACAGAAGACACCAAGTTTCTGACTGGACTTGTGGTGGACCAGACAATATATGAACTCAAAAATGATAACAGAGTTAAAGTGGTAGGCGTTGGAATCACATTTGTTTAAGTAAGTCTTCGTCTAATTTGTAGGGAACCGCTAACTGTTTCATGTGTCGTAGCAACTGTGACGGTCTCTTATCCGCAAGTTCACATGATATGAGTAGTTGCTGTAATCGTTTCTCGTCAGAAAGTGATGTACGCTGGATTAATACAGCTTTAATCTTGTCATAAGGATCAGTTTCTGGCACATAATCGATTAAGTCACAGACTTCCGTAGCTATTTCAATGGGCAGTGCACCAACAACATAGGCATATTTGGTCGCCTGGGAGCATATGCGTCTCGCTAAAAATAAAGCTTCTGCTTGTGCGAACCAAATCCTGGGGTTGTTAGCACTGTATGTTGGTAGTCTGAATTCGGAAATAGCATTGACTGAACTTAAAATATTATCATCTGACTGTGATTAATTGAGGGGATTCACTGTGGGACAATCTATATCGATAAGCTTATTCGAAGAGTACATGATGGGAAAAACAAAATAAATACAAATAACATCAAAAACTATTTACGAAATAAGCTTGTCAGGCATATCTCCACAGACCTCCCCATATTCCGTGTACTGTGTCTGAAACGTTGAGAGCGTTTTCCTTATCACAGAATGCAACGTGGTCTTAAATTAAGGTTTTACGTGCTGAATAACTGTTTGAGTGAAAAAATGCCACATTTGTCTACTCTTATTACTTCCAAAATCACTTAAAAGTTTTAAAACCTAGGCAGACCAAATTGTGTCAGTTTCCCTCTTCACATGGCGATCAAACACCTGAAGGCTGGGAAATGGTGTCAGCCTCATCGTTTAACACCTTTATGAATAAAATGAACTGTGTATTTTTAAAATGCAAGGATTAAGAAAAGTAATATGAGTGATTTTAAAATGATTTCCCGACCTTGGGATCTAGAAGCGGTGCTTTAGTGTTTAACGTTACCGTCATGGTGTTAGACTTGGATCTTTTCAGAGTCGATAAAGGAGGTGATCCTGAAGTTATTCGTTCCAATGAGATAAAAAGATTTAGAGGTACCAAACGTGTCGATTTGGTACTAGAGGCAGATGAGAATTGGCGGAAAGGTAGACTGTAAATGGTTACTCAAACTTCGTAGCACGTTTCAGAGCTGATCACTTAAATAAAGTGAAAAACTTCTGCAGCAAAGCCATTGCTAAGAAGATTAAAGTAAAATCTGTTTGCTGTGATTCTGACTTTTAGGAAAACAAAGACAGTCCGGATTTTGAGTCTAATTTGTTTGATGTTGTGTTCGATCGCCTCGACTCACTTGTGGAAGCTGATTTACAGGTAGGACTGTTGCTCGTCACTATGTTTTAGTCCTTGAGTGTGGCACAGTTAAAGTCGTTGTCCTGTCTCATTGACGAAGAAATAAAGAGAAATGCGGCTATTGTAACTGAGTTCGAGTCTGTAAGACAGCAGCAGTTGTATGAGATTGGTAATCTCCTACACCCAGATGTACCGATAAGCAACAATGAGGTATGTTTTACTGGGATGCGATTGTTCGAAAAATGTTTAAAAGTACTTTTCCATGCTACTTTCCAGTATGGCAGTGTTGAGACCTCGATAATGTCCGTAATTGAGGGCGTTTCATCTAAATTTTCGTTGCTAACCCACTCAAAACAAAAATTTAAGATCCATTTGCCAGTTCCATGTTTTATGTGATGAGAACTAAAGTTAGTGTGCCAATCCTAATGTGTTTATTTATGGTTTAGATATAATCCATACGTAACAAATCATAATTTAACATATTCTACCTCCAAAGGTTTAATTTCGAGCTGTAATACCAGCCGTCTGGTATTGAATTGATAGTATTGCGTAGTATTTCAACGTTGCTTAAGTCAGTTGGTCATCAGTATCGTAGGACTTGGCATGGCTGTACATTTTTCCATTGGTTTATTGTTGTTATCCCTCAATTTACCATATAAAACATACACATTTTTTGTCCGAATTGCTAGAAAGATAGTGCGTGACAATCAGTGATTGGTAAAAGGCTTTCATATATAGTCATTGTTGTTTCACAATTCATGATACTGATATAGTGTCGGCAATTTATTCATATTGTTAATATATGATGCACTTAAATGGCTGCTCGAAAGTAAATATGACAATATGTGGTTATACGGTAGTTCCTACGCAAGTTGAAAAGGTTTCCGTGAGAATTATTCGGTGAAATCAAGCATAGCTCTCTGGGAGCTTTATTGACTTCACACGATTTCCAGTATACTGGTGTGTATTATATATATTTCTTTCGGACTAGTCTTATTCCGAGAATCCTTTAGCAATGATGTAATTAGAAACTTGGTAATACATTTTAGACCTTTTACTCTATTAAGTTCACTTTTCTAATTAGTTTGTATAAACTATCCAGTAATCTCAAGTAGTTGATTGATCCCAATAGCATCAACATCATCCCCTCTACTTAAATACGAACTATGAATGTTATAAGAACTACACTTATTTTTTCACGAATATGATTATTTCATATCAAATTATCTCTACACGTTTTTATTGCCGTCTTGTTTTACTCGTTACCTTCGACGTAGTCGACTATATTCTACTTTGTTGCTGCCAAACATTATCTTTGAAAATAGAAGTCGTGCACAGGTTGAAGGTTTCTGACCACAGATATCTATGAAGCGTTACTCGCGTTTCATGCAACCACCTAGTGAGCAATGTTGATGTTGAGCATATTGTATTTGGTAAAGGTTGCGTTCGCAAATAAATTCCGTTCATTAGCTGAAGACCTTACGGGGCACTGCCCGAAATCGGTATTATAGTGCAGTAGTATTCATAAACCCTTTCCTTATGTCGTGGGTTTCAATATTCATTCTCTCTATCCACTTTTCATTTTGAAGCACTTTCTTTACATTCGATTCTTCGCTTTCATGTATACTATTTCTATATCTATCCCTTTTAATTTTACCTTTATATGTTCTCCCGTACTGACGTGAGGTGTGTTAAATTGATCTATTGCACATTTGTGCTTGGTCTATGAAGAACTGGGTCTATCAGCTTAACTGCACAATTATTGCCTCGTTAAGATATTGTGTAAATGTACGTGGTTGATGGTATTTTTCACTACTAGTGGTTCATTTGACGCTCATTTGAAATATTTGTTTTATGCATATATTCGTTTAACTAGGAAGACAATTTGGTTATTCGAACTTTCGGAAAAAGCGATTTTCGAAAACCTTTATCTCATGTCGATTTAGTGACGATGGTAGATGGTTTTGACGGTGAACGTGGAAGTACAGTAGCTGGAGGTCGTGGATATTTCCTAAAGGTTAGTACGTATATGCGATTTTCTAAATCTTGCTAGCATTGAGTTGCACGTTATCGATACCGCACTAATTGGTTTTAACCTGTCGGGTGTTTTTCTACCTAAAATGTCTTACTAATAAGTCATCTATTCTTAGTTGTTGTTTACACCAGTCTCATATGGTTATCTAATAACTCACATAATCCCAAAATTTGGACGAGTTATTGAACTATATAAAATTACCATGTACAAATTTGTGAGTGTTCCGAGTTTTTTTCACTCAAAATTAGTACTCAAAGATACTCAAACAAAAATAAATAGGCGCCAAATATTGAATTTTATTTTTGACCTTAGAGTCCATTTCCTCATTGGTTGTGCTTTATTCCATAGTGAAGACTAGTTTTTAAAATTATACCTTTGTCGTTTTTAGTTTTTAAACTTCAGATTCAGGAAAGTTATAATCCACAAGCAGCCAGAAGCACGAGCAACAACAACCACACACCTTAAGCGTATATATACAGCATAAAAATGTCCTTGCGAAACGTCACAAAATAGCACATTAAAAGAGGGCATGAACCAATAACATTTAAGGTCCTTCAAAGTACGAAATACAATATAGAGGTGAAAATGGGTGCTTTTTGGCGCGAAAATGAGAAATCCAAATTTTTCAAAATAAAATCACAAAAATAAGACGTCTACCAAATGTTTTCCTTAACACAAATTAAATTAGAAGTATTATGAAAACAGAGGGTTTCACAGCTTACAATGGCGTTGTGATTATTTTTGTTTTACTCCTATTTTCCCATAGTCTTTCATCTTACAAGATATTTAACTTCACCTTTTTTACCCGGATTTATACTGACTCTTTTAGTGATTACTTTATGTTTACATAAAAAATATCAACTTTTATGCTACTCTTTTTACAGGGCCCGCTTGTTTTCCTGGAACAAGCAATCATAAACTTAGCTCTACAAATGCTAGATGAACGTGGTTATACGCCACTGTACACTCCATTTTTTATGCGCAAGGAGGTTATGCGAGCAGTTGCTCAATTAAGTCAATTTGACGAAGAGTTATACAAAGTAAGTCTCCAGATTGCACCGTAATGTGAATCTTTGTTGTTGTGTCTAACAGAATGAAAATACGTTAACTTTCATTTGTCTAATCCATAGTTTTAGTTGCGTTCACTAAGTGCAATGAATCATTCTCAATTTTTTATTAAAACCCATTAAAAGTCAATACATAGATAAAATCGTCTAGTTTTTCACAATAATTTATTGTAGTTTTCTGAATTTTATACAGCTAATTTCATTTGTTAGTCATTCTTAGCTCTATAAGAAAGCTTTATATGATACCTAAGAGTTATGTTCAATAGTCTAATCAGATTATAAACTGTTGCGAGCTGTCTTTTGACAGTAGATTAGTGATTAAATGACTAGTACTTCAGCCGTTAGGTTACGCTTTCAAGTCTAGCCCCACCTACTTTTGTTTGCATAGCCTAATACTATTGATAGGTTCTACACTAACAGTGTTTATAGCTTAACATCCACTATAATAACCGATACTTGATTGCTAAATTGTATTGACACTATTATAATCCCAGAATCCACTACTATTAATTCATTAAAAATATCAGTTGTTTTTCTTAGGTCTTCGCTTCATGCTGTAATCCCGTAATATCATTCCATGGGTATTGAATTTATGAGTTAATGCTCACATCACCAAGTGATATGGGTATGTAGAAATATCAAGTATAATAATTGATGATGAAACATGATAACGCATTTAAATCATACATTTCCATTTTTCCAGTTCATCTTGATGGTCCTTGGTCATGTGAGTTTTGTCTCCATCAAATATTAGTATTTAGCAGTATGATGAAGTCTGGATTATATTTCAAAGGTACTACACTGTCAGTTATTTGCCATGTGAATTTAATTTAGTGGCTTAGTGATCTGGACACATGCCATCGAGCTATTAAGCCACATGGTTTAGTTGAAATGGATTTACTGTATTTGCTATCCCATCCTGCATATATTAAATGTGGTTATTTTTCCGTATATGTAATTATTAGATCTAACTGAATTTACACTTATTTTCACTTCTCCAGGTTACTGGCCGTCGCGAACTCACTGCCACAACCAATCACGAATTACAAGCAAATGAAAATGAAGAGGAAGAGAAATATTTGATTGCAACATCCGAACAACCAATCGCTGCATTTCATCAAGATGAGTGGTTACCCATTGATCAATTACCGATTAAGTATGCAGGGATCTCGACTTGTTTCAGACAAGAAGTTGGTAGTCATGGTCGTGATACTCGTGGAATATTTCGTGTTCATCAGTTCGAAAAAGTATGTTGATTGTGTTTGAATATAGTCATTTTATTGTGGTTAATTCACTTAGAATATTATTTAGCGTTGAAATTGATTGTTCAAGAATTAATTTTCGGTTGCAAGTTTACATACTGTCAGCCAAGTTAAACGACATTTACTAGTGTCGTATAACTGTAAATTTATTTCTGTTATCTTTCAACCATTTACTTGTAACGTTAAATTTACTGACTATTACTACCTACTTCTCAGAAATACTTCCATTCTTCTGAAGTGCAGAAAACCTCGAATTAATCCACGTGAGCTACAAATCTTCTTCAATACCAATTATAATTGATTGATTATTACAAATGTACTCGATGTCACTAGAATATGGCATTCATAACCGTGCAAAATTGACTGATTAACGTTGAACGACCATTTTCAGATTTTAATTTCTAGTACTATAAGACTAATCTTACAGATTGTTTATGAAGTGAAATTTTTATTGAGTTTTAAGAAAGACTAGTAGTGTCATTATATTCGTTATAGTATACCAATCAAGTCACAAATGAAAAGGTTACGTTGTGCCAACCAAAAATCTGATGATAAGTGCATATGATTGACCAAGAAATTGTTTTACTTTCTAAGGAGTAGACATTATATATAAATAGCATAGACTCTTTATTTTATGCCACGTGGTAAGAATTAGTTGACAACTCTGGTTTACTTAATTTACTTTGTAAATACTTGTTTTTTTTTCAAATGGTAGGTTGAACAGTTTTGCATTACTAGTCCGCACGATAATCTGTCATGGGAGATGTTTGATCATATGATTTGTAACGCTGAAGCATTTCACCAGGTTAGTTTACTGTTCTATAAATAATAGATTATCATTAGTGTTATGTTACATTCATTTACTCTCCCTACTCTCGGAAATCGACATCAGCTTCTGGTAACTTTTGTTCAGAGTTTATTGTTCTAACCTTAATCTTTTCTACTCATGGAATAAAGTCGGAAGGTAAACTCTTGTAAACATTCCAAAATTGGTTAAACCGAGTAGACATTTTATCTCATGACTTATGAATTATTTAGTGGAAATTATAAAAAATTTTACTTCACTTTTGTTGTCTAATCTGTAAAGTTGAGTACATTGTTTGCTTATTCCGAAATTTTTTTTTGACTAGCTTTCGTCCTTCGCAGCGAATATAAAAACTTTTTAAGATAATTTGACTAAAGTTCATAATTTTAAAACATTTCATTGAGTTCCTGTTTATTCCTCTTAACATCAGTCGTTCGAAGTTATGATATCAAGTAAATGGATGTGAAATAACCATTTATTTCTATCGTAAACTAAGAATGTGATTTGGTTAATGAACTTTAATGGGGCAAGCGTAATAAATTATTTAAATAAAGTATGATGTTTGTGATATATCAAATATTTACTGATTAAAATTTTTTATGAGTTACCGGCTCTTATTGTCAAAAATGAAACAAATCAAGAAACAAATGAATACATTTTAATTTACACGGTGATTCTATGTATTCTTCAAAAGATTCAAATCTGTCAATAAAATTTTCTTTTTCTTGTGTACAGGCTCTGAAATTGCCTTATCGTGTTGTTTCCATTGTGTCGGGTGAGCTAAACAATGCTGCATCAATGAAGTATGATTTAGAAGGTTGGTTCCCTGGGTCTGGAGCTTTTAGGGAACTTGTATCTTGTAGTAATTGTTTGGACTATCAATCTCGTCGGTTAGCAATTCGTTTCGGTCAAACAAAAAAAATGAATAAAAGTGTAAGTGGTATTTTTTTGTGTTCTTCAGGTTGCTTAATGTAATGTTCACCTTGTTTAGTATAATTATCGATGCATTTTGTGATGATTGTGTCTGTAGCAAAATCAGCCAATTGTAGTTGTCGTCATAATGAATTTAAGTTTTGTAATATTTCATTCAGTCTGTCACTTATCTTCACACATATGTGAACTTTTTTGAGGCAAGTGAATTGCTCAATTAAAGTACATACTTGTATTTAGCTGGTAAATTATTATTATTCATTTTATTATTATTGTCTAAGTATGAAAAGTAATATCTCAATATACCGTCGAAAAGCACCTAAATTAGATAAATCATGTAATTATAAAGCTAGTAAAAACATTAGGGGATACAATTGAAGTATGAACTCGATCAAGTTGATTGTGTTTTTGTGAATTTTCACATTTTACTGTTTGTTCAACTTTCAAAAGATAACAGCATAATGCAACTTTTACTTAAATCATTATAATTATCTTAAATTATTGCTTGGATTAATAGTCTCTTTTTTAAATGATTATCATGCTTGTTTGAAAGTTCTCATTATTGTTTTATTCATGGACTACCTGTTGTCTACAATGACCTAGGTTGAATATGTACATATGCTCAATGCAACGATGTGTGCAACCACTCGAGTTATTTGTGCGATTCTAGAGAATTATCAAACAGAACATGGGATTATTGTACCTGATGTTCTAAAATCATTTATGCCCAAAAGTTAGTGTACTTTTTTGTTATTAATGAAAATACTTTTCAGTGGGCTATAATCCATTTTTTAAAAATTCATTCTATGCTTATGATTATACGTTATGCATGATGGTTTCATAATGTGTTTTCTTCACTGTTTGTAAGATTTAATTCGTTCAACTCAGTAACTAAACTGTCCACTTATGTATTAGGTTTTAATTCGCATTTTCTGAGTGTTGGTGTTACCGCCAGAGTACTGGAGTCGAAGTACTCTGAAATTTTGTTTTAAATAGTTGAAAGTTGGTTACTTAAACCATTAACCCTCCACTTAGTGTTCATAGTCTTAAAATATTATCACTTCTTACTGAACATTAGTATTTTTAATAGACTATTAAATACATGGAGGTTTTCATTCATCCGAATTATTGCGATATTGTGTATGTATGAAGTGAGATGATGATGTAATTAGCCAGTTTATGCCGTTAATTTTACCAAGTTATTTCAGTCAATAATTAAATATATCTCTCCATCAATCATTTTACTCACATTTAATCATATATTCTCATGTGTTTGTGCATTTGAAAGTGTCTATTATTTACTTTTTTATTGCTTGTAAATGTACCCCATCAATATTTCGTGGTTCATACATATACACATATTCGTTCTTATGTATATTCTCTCCTGTTGCATGGTTTGGTTGATTTACGCTTGGCTGTTGAGCTGTTACGTTTTCAATGAAGTAACTTCGATCTGATTTCGTATCTGCTTTCGAACGTCTCGTGGTAAAGTAAAACTAGTTATTACCTCGGGTTTTATAACCAGAGTCGTATAACACTGATTAACTAGTGGTGAGCCAACGTATGAACTTGCCACAGCCTACGACGAAACCGCCTACAAAATAATTTGTTTGTCACTAATTTGCAATTATACCTACTCACCATCAGGGTGGATCACTATCTGTATTTAATTAGTGTATTATTACATATTTTTGTGGTAACGTGTGACTGCAGATCAGAGTGAAGCGTATTTATCGATCGATTCAATGACACGAAAAACACGTAAGGACGACCTAGAGTCCCGATTGGCCCTGCTTCGCTGTCTAGCCCAGCCAGTTGAGTCCAGAACACAAGTCTCAGCCTCTGAGTTATGAATCATTATATTTCAGACATACTCTGTTTATATACCAATCAAACAAACCACATCGTACCATAAAATAGAAAACAACATTTGTACAATATTTAACAAGTGAAGTAAACATCGACCAATAGGGAATGTCCATTTAAAGTTCAAGGACACCATTAGACTTAACATGATAATTATTGGCATATTTTTCTGCACATCCTAACAATTTTGCTTCATAAATACTGTGACAATACGTCAGTATTAACTATCGTAACAATCGCATGAAACCGTTACTTATTACACAATAAACATACTAGTAACCTTACTCTCATTCTCAAAGCATATATTCCCTCGTATAACAATTCTGTTCTCCTCTTTAGTCCGTCGACTTTGTCAGTTAAAGTCACGTTACGTACATGGTGGATCGTTTAATATCATCTTTTGTGTGTTCTATCGGGTATTCTTGCTAGCTTGTCATTGTCGCTGTCACTGAAATCTAGAGTCTGCTATATAATTTGCGGCAATTCACATAATCATAATCTATCGAATAAACTACCATCTACTTTCGTACTTCCCAGCAAACTTCATTTGTGATTACTTTGCTACGATGACTTTCTGCCTCCTATTCGTACCTGGATAATTAGTTGGTCGATAACGTCTTAGATAACGCTCGTATGACTGTCTGTTTCAAGTCATCGTATGACGTTTTCATTTATAGTATGAGTACCGAATCTTGCATCCGTTCAGATGCTTCATCTGGTAAGTGTTATAACGCTCGAGTTTATTTCGTCTTTGCGAATGAAACGTCAATTTGCCTTAGACGGATATCTACACTAGATTCGCTCCCAGTGTTTATGCTACAGGAATTCAACACGACTCAGATCATGAACACGTGATTAACCTGACTAGAACATAAATATATTTCCGCACCAAAAATCGTCAACAACCCGACACAATCCAACAACAATCAATAATAATAAGGATAGGAGAATATATAACTCATTTAACGCCTGTCAGACCATCTACAATTCTGACCAATCAAACAACCAATCATTATCATTCTCGCCCACACATCAGTAAGTGTGGACTAGTGATAGAACTCGTCCTTTTGTCAAGTTTCACGATTGTGCATAAAATAATACTCAAGCCTAGCGAACCAAAGTTGTGATTCTGCTACTCTAAGAGTAGAAATGGTAAGGTTATTAGTACGCGTGAAACAGTATTGTAAGAATTGTAAAAGTCTAGCTACAAACTTGATAAAAGGTGGCAAGTAATGTACAGTTAATTAGGTGTGACATAAAAAAGCAGACAAATCAATCTTAGTAATAATAATGATAAATAACACAATAATATGAAATAAAACACATCCCCTGAATATGCACCAATTGATTCGAGACTTAGTAATCTAATAGCATCTGGCCTGTTGGGTAATATGTGTTGATCCAGGATCGACCTCGTTTAGAATCCCTAATGCTCACTACTGACAAGTGTTAAACTTTAGTAAAACAACTATCCAGTGCTTCTCAACTTACTGTCTGTTCACGATAAAAATTACTTTCAAATCGAAATCTTCTAAATTATGTATATTGAGTAAGCTGCTCATTATAGAACGCTATGGCATTTCCGTACTTGTTTGTGACCAGTAAATCTTACTAATGCTATTGAATACTGCATACTAATCATACAATGAATCTCATTGGGTATAGTTGATTGTCTGATAATCTAATTCATGTATTGCAATATTTCTTCTAGGTCACTGTCCGTCGGTATCGTAGTCCGAACAATCGTATTTGTCTGTATAATTCAAAGTCCAAACTTTTTGCCAAAAAGCTGCTTAAGCAATAAAACATTGACTGAAAGAATGTTTTTGAGAAACTTAGAATTACGAAGTTCTAGACAGACCATTAATACAGCTTTTCACTTTTGTATTTCGCCCCTTGAAGCTGCAATACTCCTTATCTGGTGTCTATACATGGCTAAATGCTCTATAAAGCATATTATTCGTTTATCGTTAGCGTTGTATTTCTTTCCAGATCAGAACATCTTAGTTAATATTCTTATACGTGCATATTGTGAATACTTCTTTTCTTTATTTAGTGTTGATTCACTGACAGTTGTAGTTATTGTAAATTAATTATTTTTGTCTCATTCATATGATCTGTTCGCATACTTTTTATTTAACTTATCGTATTAGAATATCAGAAATTTATACCGTTCAAAGGACATGAGGATAAAATACCTGTCAGTATTGATGATGTGCCACAGACAATTAACAATTCATCCAATACAAAATTTCACGATGAAACATCGTTCAATGAGCTGAATGAAAAAATAAGTAATTTAACTGGTGCTACAGAATCTGGTCTCGTCAGCGCTATTTCTCAAATATCTGCAGTTCAAAAACGAATTGAAGATACGTTGAATACACTAAGTCTAGTCACCACAAATAATCACGTTGAAAAAGATATCCGTGACAAAAAATGTGCTGTTGTTCATCCTGTAGAACATTCTGTAGAAGATAAAAATGACCTTGAAGTTGAAAATAAGGATACAATTGATAATGAGTCTGTGAGTTTACAATCAACTACTCCAGAACCAACTGATTCTAAGAAGAAGCGGAAGAAAAAACCAAAAAAGAAACAATCGGATTAGAATTTTATTTTATTGTGGTGCTCAGTTAATATTGCATATTAATGATTTGTTGTATTGACTCACACTTGCATATGAATATAAATTTTGACTGTGGTGTTATTTAAACGTGAAAATTACATTAATAGTCGGCTCCATGGTTTGCGCATGGTATTTTCAGTCATATGTCAGTTAGCCACGTTTATTATTACGTTAAAGTTTTAAATTAGATTTCTGTTATCAAGATATTTATGCATATATTACTTCTGAAGTCTGGAAAAATTAGGATCCATTTTTTTACGTTATAATTGAAGCACAGATTGAATTTGGATAAGGTTTTATTTCAAGCCGAAATATTAAATACTCTTAACTCAGTTTGATTCATGTCCCTGTAATAGCTGGTTTAGTATAATCCAAGGTGCTATTTGAAGAAACCTATGAATCGCAACAGTGCACGGTAGTTTTGATCTATTTCATAGTTTTGATATACTAACTAGAAATAATTTGAGGTGAATCACTTACGTCAGTTAATTTTTTTAAATTTATGAATAATCTCTGTATTTTGTATACATATTACGCTAGTGTATTGTCGTTAACCTCTACGATTATAGTTTGTTGTCTGTTTAAGTGTATTCACGCATTTGCTCCTGATCAATGTGAACGACATCCTGAAATTTTTTAAAAGACACATCAACTTTTGTTTAAAGCTTCTGAGAAGCATTCAGCTTTTGACTTTAATGAAAACTTGATATGTGTTTATCATTGAAAAATATATTCTATATGTTTCATGAAAATGAAGTACAGATTTCCTAATTCAAATAATTATTGAAGGCCTATGTATTACACCTCATGAAATACTGTGAAATGAGTTACAAATGTTTCAATAATGACTGTTTGCATGAGATATGTTATCAAATGAATTTTTAAGATCTATCAGAATTATTTGTCACAAACGATGAACTTTATATTTGTTAATAAGTACTGATTTCTCTGAATTTCGTACTTTCTTATGGTACGTTTCGAACGTTCATTTTAAATACAAATTCGTTGATAAAACAAATAAATTAGGTTTGTAAATATTTATGTGATCAATACCGGGATATTAATCATTTAGTGAGTTAACAAGTAAGATCACATTTGACTTATGATTTTTCGGATATTAGTTGTACTAACTGATTAACTAGCAGTGATTCTATATGACTTTAAAAATTTTCATGTAGAGTACAGTTCATATATGTCGCTTAATTATTAATTTAGAATACTTAAACAATTGATCTACATCGTTCTAATATTAATAAGTGGGGGTTATTCATGCAACAAACAGCCTTCCAAAAGTATTTATGTAAGTCGCATACCATGGATCAATCAATTGTTCTTGACTGAACTCTATGGAATCATATTACATCTGTTTAGTAATTTATGTTGTATATGAGGACGAAAATGCGTCTAATGGCTTATGATGCGATCGATAGTTTGTAACTTGGGATGTTTTCATCAATAGATTACACTTTTTAACAATTTTTGGTTCAGTCAACTCAATTGTATGTGTGTTTTATATACAAGTGTCCCTTACAGTTCCGTTTTCTAAACTGCTGTAATGAAATACTGGTGTTACTTTGAATGTACAGGGCTTAATTATGAGTTGTTTATTACTTTTACGAATTCATATAGTTTTATCTAGATAAATCATATTCTGTAGGAGAAAAAGTCGTCAAAATGTTAGATAATCAATGCTTTTAGTTTTACTTTAGCAACTTCCATGTTAATCAGATGAGATAGTAGTAGTTTGTCACTTTCAGAAAATTTGATTATATAGTCAAATGTAAATAAATAACATTTATTTTATGCTGTAAGTCTCAAAAATCATTTAGAATATGAAATCTATTTCGATGAGATAATTTCATGTTTAATCTTTTGAAGAGAAATGATGTTTTGCTTAATGCAACAGATTATTCATACATTTATTTCATTTATAAATATTGCTATATTTCGGTGCATAAACTGAACATTAACATTTATAAATCGGTGGTTTGTTTAGGCGTATTATTTTTGATGATGCTATTTCATTCTTTATTGTTTTGGTTATCGTTAAGTGAATGCCAAGAAATCTATCAGTATAATCAGTAAAAATGTAATCCCAAAGTGTAGTGTATAACGTTTAGTTCCTATGAATTAATCACAGCTTTTTTTAGTAATGAGTGTAAATGGCCTCACCACCACCGCTATAAATGTCAACAGGGACATTGTTTACACGCAAAACCTTTCTTCTGAAATAAAAGGTTATTAGAGAAGTTGATCTTCCTTCATATTATTCAGAAAAATAGCATTTTAATTGTAGAACATTGCCTACAGTGATTTTCTTCCAACACTTGAACTGATTCGTATGTTTTATTTCATGTTGTATTATTTCATTTAGGCTATTCTAAATGATTTTAATACGATATTTGTATTCGAATACCAAATTAAGTTTGTAATTAAATAACCTATTTAACTGAATTAGACATAACTACCTGATCAAATTATTGGATATTTCTAATAACAGCATGATAGTGATTTTTCGACTCTGACATTTGTTGTGCTCCAACGAGAGCTAGTCTGTGCTGGGTACATCCTAAATTTGGTTAGAATTTATTGTTCGTATGTCTTCACCGCCTTGAGTAATCGCAGAAGTCAGTCAGTTAGTAACAACGTAGAACTTCGTACGTACGTACATCAGTTCGAGTTGCCACACCACATTAGCACAGAGATGATCCAGTTGTCGATTCAAATCATGTAGTGGTAGAGGTGGTAAGAGTATAAGCAGTAATCGGAAACATTAGGGTTTGAAGATGTTATTCAAGGAGTATAATCCAGTGAAATAAATTTGGAAAGAGGAAAAAAGGGAAGTGAAGAATTCAGAAGATTAGAATTTGGAAGAACACAAAGAGTGGATGCACTTGCGCCATCACAAACCATAGAAGTTCAACCCCTGGAAATTTAGATGAGGAAAGTGTTATCTCTAAAAGTACGTCAGTGACAAAGTAAATCAGGAATGGAGAGAGTGAACAGCCCTGACGAACACCACTTGAGGTAATCAATTCTGATGACAGTTCGCCATAAGCTCTCACTCGACCAGTTGTGTTCTAGTAGAGAGCCTGTACAAAGTTAATGTACTTCTTTCAGTGGCAAATACTCCCACAGAACCCCACGATCAACAGAGTCAATTGCCGCCTTAAGGTCGAGAAATACTACCATTGTGGGGCGTCTGAACGTGTGTCTGTGTTCTAGAACCTGAAGTAGTGTGAATATCTGATCTATACAACCATATCCAGGTCGAAAACCAGCCTGGTTTTCTCTAGTCTGTTCTTCACGAGTTTTGGTTAGGCGTCGAAGTATTATTGAAGCTAATATTTTAGACATTATATTAGTCAAACTGATTCCTCTGTGATTGTCACAAGAGGACTTTTGTCCTTTCTTATAGACTGGCACAATTAGTGATTGAGACCAGTCAGATGGGATTACGTCCAGTTCCCAAATTCTACCTAAGACCTCAGTTAATCTCACTGTTAATGCTGGACTACTATCCTTAAAAATCTCGGGTAAACCTGTCAGGGCCTGCTGCTCTCCCTCGCTTCAGATTTCCTATGGCTTTTTCAACTTCGTAAAGGGACGGAGGACCTACATTAACTTGCCATTCAGGTAGACTGGAGATCGTGAGAAACCAAAGTGTGTCTGAAGGCCAGTTGAACTGATCCCTAAAGTGTTCTGCACATCGATCCAATCTCCTGGATTGAGAATAAATAATATGTCCATATTTCTCTGAGATTGCTTCGCTAACAGTCGGGTTCCTAATACCGGTTTCCTTACCGAGTCTGAACAATTGTCTGCTATCACCTATTGCCGCTGCCTTTTCCATCTCTCTTGCTTTCGCTACCCACCACTGCTCACGATCATTGCATAGGCTTCTTGTCAGCTTGTGCTTAAGCTGACTTCGCTCTTCGTTATGTTCAGAATCAAATGTCATGAGTTTTCGAGCATCTATCAGTGCGATAGATGCTGCTGAGATCCAGTGTTGCTCCCTAACCTTGTGGTTTACCGTACTAGCAGATATCACTGCAGTTTCCACAGCTTTTCTGATATCATTCCATGCTGCCTCGGGGTGGACATCACATACATGGCTGCCTAACTTTTTCTAGTTGTTCCTGAAATATACTCTTAGCTTGACTATCATTAAGTAGGTCCCTAAGAGGTTTTCTTGCAGCGTTTTTCCTACGTCCAGTAAGACGCAGGCAAATACGCGCTCGTACTAGAGCATGATCTGAATCTAAGCATGTGCTCCAGAATGAGCGACAGTCTTCTATCGAGCCCCTCCATCGGTGGCTGATAGCGATGTGATCTATTTGGGTCCAACATTGGGACGAATTAGGGGGTCGCCATGTTAAAAGATGTTTTTCCTTATGCATAAAGTTAGTATTTGCAAGGAATAGGCAGTTATCAGGGCATAGCTGCAACAGACGGTCGCCATTATCTGTTCTTTGAGCCACGATGCTATAAGATCCACCCAGGTGTTTTTCCCTATCGCTTAGTTTACCTACTTGAGAATTACAGTTACAGCCATTGTTAGTATATCAGAGCGCCTGTCTTTTCGGAGAAGGTCGGAAAGCTTTCTGTAAAACTCATCTTTTACATCATCTGCGCTGCAGTCAGTGGTAGAGGCAACGACGAGTGTCCCTATCTTTTCGGATCCTTACTGTTCCGTTTAGTCGGACAGCGCACAAACGACTGTCTACTGGGATCCACTCTAAGAGAGCTAGTTCTTCCCTAGGACTCAATGCTATACCTACGCCGGCGAGTCCACGAGAAGCAGCATTTGGGCTTTCAGATACACGAAGTGTGAATCGAGTTGGTTCTTTAATTGGACATGTTGATGTCAAGTGAATGACGCTACTCGGATCCTGTATGCGTGTTTCGGAGACGCAGCACACATCGATGGCGCGAGATTCTAAAGTCCTAGCTACGGAAGCCTGCTGTCGTATTTGGCACAGTGTTCGAACGTTATAAGCTCCAACATGAAGTTTGTAGCGTGGTTTCAGGAGACCAGGAATAACGTTCCGCGTACTCGAATCGTTTGCCCTAGCGATGCGAGGTGATAAAGAGACATGAGAAGAGTTAGTCGTGGAGATAAGATATTTATTTGGAGGTGCAGGAAGGATTTGAGTGTGACTGACTTGGTGTCGTGTGTTGTTACGGGTATGAGGGCATATGTCACTTCCCGGCTGCCCACACCGTGGAAGGGTATTTCTTGAGGAACCTGAAAGGGAAGTTGGATCAATGTTGGCCTTAGCGATCTGGGAGCGTGATTGTAGAGCACAGGGGATAACTGCTTGAGGCCGGTGGGAGGTTTTTGACGTGCTAGTTCCGTTCTTCAAAGGGTGTGCGACATTTTTAGGGTCAATCATTTCTAACCACTTCCTTCCTTGTGAGAAGGCAGCATCGCTGCAGATGTTTGAGGGAAACACCTTACTGCTGTCATATCCCTCTACAGTCAGCAGTACAACTTCGCCGTCAGACCTTGAGTTGCTGTTTCTAGTCTTACCGTTCTCCAATCGACCTGCCTGGCATGGTAGAACCTACAGGAACATATGTTCCAACCAATATAGCTCGGTTGGGTCATCACGATAGGCAAGCCCGACCACCGTGTCAAGGTAGCAGATATGATCGGGATAATCGCAGAAAGACATCTTCAAAGCCATTATAAAAAACCCATCAGTTACTTAGTATTTCTTTCTGTTTTTACACCAGTTTAGAATTTTTTTCAATTCCTTTCAGGTTTTAGTTGAATTTTTTTATTGCAAATTTCTGGGATTGAGTCCCCGAATATTTTGAAAACAGACTGATAGAATTGACTGAAATCTCTAAAAATTCCCATAGCTCAACTTGCATATGCACAAAAGCCACATAACCTATAGCTATTGCGTACAATAATCAGTAAGTGACGAGTGACCTATGTCATTTCATCCAATATTTAGCCCCGATCAATTTCAACATTCGACTCTGGGTCGCGAGGGGCAGGGTAAGTATCTGTGAAGTTTTGGTTCGTCTGCTTCTCAGTGTTCAACATGTCTGGAATATTTAAGATTTTTCCT